TTAATAGTTTGTAAGATCTCCGTGAGTAACAGTTATGAAAAATAAAGGTTTGGACGTACGTTATCGAATTAATCGCCCCAGGGTGAGATGGAAGCAATTTGGCATAAGTCCAATATTGCTATAACGTAAATAACAAACTCCATCAAACTATCCACGTTTTTTTAATTTATAACTTACAACTTTAACGTTGAAAATATAAAACAATAATAATGTATTCTACATTTAAATACATATATAAAACAAAGACATATTCAAAAAAAGGGCGCATCACTGGAGTTTACTCCTTAAGAACGATTCGTCTGCACACAAGTATACAAGTTATACACACACATGTGAAAGGTGCGCACGATAGGTTGCGCACAAAAAACGTAACGAGTTAATTCGATCACTAAATTTTACTCTTCCAAATTTTTTTTTTCATACCGGTCGCCTTATATGAATATCGATTCTTAAGGAGTAAAGTCCAAAAACAACATAAGATACTATATCTGTTAGTACCTAGTGATCAAACACCTGAGGATTGGAATTGAAATTTCTCTTTTTTAAGTTCAAACAAAGGAACAGCAAAAATGATTCTTAAGCACTCATCTAAATAGGTTTATAAAAAGGTTAAGTTAGTTTGTGTGGCCTTCAAAATCTGCACCGATTGAGCTGAAGTTTTGACACGATATAAACACATTTCAGAGATGGTTTTTATCAATTCCTTATAACCAAAATGTGCCAGAGCGAAGCGTGGCCGGGTAACGCTAGGCAGCGTTGTCGTACTTTAAAAAGCAACACCTGAATTCCAAACGAAGATACAGTATCCAAAGATTACGTTCGAATTCAAGGTCGCCCTTTCGGTACACTATTGATCTTTGGGCTAAAGCTGTCCGTGTATTTGGCACAGCTTTGCGAAAGTTTTGTAATTACTGTCTACCTTTGCCAAGACCTTTTTATTTCGCTTCATAGTATAGTTAAGAAGAACAACCTTTAATGTGTAAGAATTAAAACAGTAGAGCAAAATACTCTTTGTGCTGGTCATTTTATTAAAACTGACATACAACAGCGAATTCAAACAACTACATAATCTGTATAAGATTCTTATCAAATTCGTTTTTTAGACAGTTATTTCATCATACAATTGTGTGATACGCATGTCTTTCTGCATTCGTTATCTTTTTAAAAATGTAATATTCATAGTTGGTAGATACTTACATTTAAATGAATAACCTAATTGACTGTCAACGTCTAAGCTTCTTGTGCAACTTTATAAATAAATAAGTTTTGTTTTAATATAACCGAGTTAGCACAAAAACGAAAACTTTAAAATGAATTAAAGCCTATTTGTACTGCACTCTTAAATACAGTAACATGTTCATTGTTCGATTTAAATACACAAGAACTTGCTAAAATAAATACTACCTTAAATATATTATCAACTCTGCAGCCCTACGAAATCAATAATACTGAGCCTGAAGGATTTCATACGAACGTTCTCTATCTTTCTGTTATCTTAAGTTCACCAGACTCAAATGGTCTGTAGACTTAACATTTATATTTCAATGAAATGTACGGATCGTATCTCTCTTGTGTTAGTAATTTATTCAAAATACAGCCTCAAGCGTAACGTGCGCTATATTAAACTAGGCTTCTGATTACGTCTCCCTCGGTTTGATGATAATTACTTTAAGATGTCTAAAGATGTGTAAAGTTTTAGTTAAGTTACGACAAACCACAAAAATTGTCTAGACCCGTAATAGGTATAATATTCATTCTAAAACACGATAGAGTAATAGTGTCTGACTGCAAAAGACTTTTCTTATTAAAATCGCTACCTTTCTAACGAGTACCTTTTTTTTTTTTTTCCGTGCGGAAATCCCCTCGGATACCACCTGTCGGTGGCATGTCGGACTCGAACCGACTAAAACCGCACGCCTTCGCCGGGTACTAATAGCCGGGGAACCAGGTATACCCTAGAAAGGAAGGCCCTGGTGCCCCGACATACCTCGGGTCATCTACAGACGAGTAGACGACCCCCGCCCCGTGTGGGAACCCCATGTGCTCCCTGGAAGCGAGCGCGCTTCGCAACGCGCTCTAACGAGTACCTATCTAGATTTTGTGCCCTCAACTAATGTTTTACATAATTGCCATTATGACAGAGAAAATTGTCAGCTTACGTCAAATTACCATATTTTGCATAATCTGTATTTGAATAAATTATTTTGTTGATGTTTTCTTATTTAGTCTTTTTGCTACTGGCCTGTGCTATCAAAGTAGTACTTTTTATAAACATGTTTAGTCTATTAAATATTTTATATTCAGTAACATTAAAATGTCATAGTAACATTTTTAAGTAGATACTTTATCACGCAATCCTACATAATTTTTCCTATCCTATCATCATCATATTCCACAATATACTAGGAACATTGAATAGGTGAGAGATTATCAATGGAAAATCGTTGCTGATGAAGAGAACTCGAGTTCATAATCATAAATCATCCGGTGCCATTTCCCGGCAAGAGCTTCGCTGAATTTCACTTTCATTCATTGAATACGTTCGATTTATCTATGGTTAGTCACTTTTAATCATAATGAATTAGTAATCGATATTATTTATGACTTCCGATCTGTACAGAAATATACTTTACAACTTCCTTCCTTAGAAGATTACGCTTTTTATAGGAATAGTCATGTACTTCTTGTTTTTGAACCTCTTATAATGCGTCTACTCGCCTAACCAGTCATTCAATTTCGAAAGAAAACGAGCAAAGCCACAGCCAGAACCTAATAATTAATGTTGTTAAAACATTAGATTGACTGTATACTGTGATTGTGTGTTGTGTATGTAGTTGACATCCATGACGTCAATTCGTATGTACTTTCTATTCCCACTAATTACGTAATGTGTTGCATAACACCATTAGTGTCAACTGTTCTAATTAGATCATTAATATCCAAACATTATACAATCTATTTACTGCCAATTATTTTTATCCCAGTCTAAGGGCTTACATCATTTACGTAATCGTACTTATCCCTAAAGCATCCGCTCGCATACAATTTACACTTGAATAAAGGTCTGTAACGATATTGAAAGGTTCTAAATGAGGTTGGTCAAGCCTACTCGAATGAACAACGTCCTTTGTAATTTCCTTTTTGAAAAAAGATGTGGATACCTATCACCATTGAAGGATTCCTATTGTATGAAGCTACGGAATATTTATTAACACTACAAGTTTCCTTTTCAATGGCTTTTTCATCTATACAAGTAAATAAAATTGAAGTGTTTGTTTGTAATGTCAAAAAAATTGATTTTTTTTTCATGCTCACTGCTATCTATAAGTATAAGGAGTAATAAGTTACTCCTTATACTTATAGATAGCAGTGAGCATGAGCTTAGGCTATTTTCCCTCTCAAAAAAAAACATTAAAAATTTTGCCTGATCCGGGAATCGAACTCACTAAGGCAGTTATTTTCAAGTTCCACGCGAACGCAGTCGCGGGTACCAGCTAGTATCAAATATTACGCATTTGTTTAACAAAAGATCTATTTTTAAACGGTTAGCTATTTCACTAAGTTTATTCATGAAGATCATATATCAGTAAGGACTATGAATTAGTTAAATTTGTCTCCTTTTTCGTCTATATGTCTTTGTTCCCACGTCTTATTTTCAATTGCGCCCATCTCTAATGATATGGTAGGTTAAGACCTAATAACTTTGTTGCCTTATTTATGAGTTTCACAATCAAACTCTTTATACTTCTTCGAAATTATTTCTCCTATGGAGAATTGACTTAATAAATTAAAGCAAACTTAATAAATAATAAAAAAGAACGTTCTTCTTATTTTATACATTCGATTCATGTTTTTGTTTTCATTTAGTAAGTTAGTAGTGAGGTGCTTTTTTATTATTCATATGCCGATTTTCCGTTTTGCTCGGCTGCCGCTATGGAATACGTCAGTTTGGATTCTTAAGTAAGCTCTGTATCCCAGCGGTTCTTAGTTCTTATACTAAATATAAACTGGAACTTTTCCATAACATTAATTTTATACACTAACGAACGCCAACTTGCATTAATGGTCGACGTCAGAATGCTATAACTGATAACCCTGTTTGCTGATTACTATGACGCCTCATACAATAACTTGTTTAATTCTCGCCAAATTTCTCAAACACTAACGAAAAGTAATTACGTTTACCTTGTACCTATAAAAACTGTCTGAGGACAGGTTGTCTGCTCCGTGTATTTAGACTTATTTCAAATACAAAACTCAAAGGAGTTTGTACAATTCTCAAAAAACTATTCATTGACGATTGACTTGAGACATATTAATCCACGAGAACCCATAACGCACAATATTAAACATTACAACCATGTAATAATGGACGGACTATAATTGGTCCCCTGGGATGAGTTAGCTTTTCTTATGATCGAAAATGTTCTGGATTCCCGTATCGAGCAAACTGTTATTGCTTCTAACAGGATAACGGAGTCTGGAAAAAACTCGATAGATGTCAATGTACTCGCTCCTCTGGGTGCGACGAGCATGTAAACAATAAATATAACCCATACTAAATATCAAGCTAAATTAAGTTAGTATTAAAGATTTCGTAAAGTATTACCATCTAAGCCTCTCTGAAGACGCGCGAAGCATCCCTCGAGACGTTATTTATTTAGGGACGCGCTCCTAGCTTTAAATGGGTGGTGTCAATGATCTCCGAGTCGTCTTATGAATTATAATTTTGTCTTCATCGATATTTCGAAGACGATGAAAATTGGCGAGTTCACTGTTCGAAAAGAGAATGAATAAAATTATGTCACAATTTGCCACGCCCTTACCTTTACGTACATAGGTAGAAGATAATTTGTTTAACAATAAATGCATAGAATAATAGATTCATTATCTTTAAGAATCGCAATTCTTAAGACCTTTTTTGCATAGGCTATAAACTTCGTAATTAAAAATAAAACAAATAGTACAAATTTTCATCACTATTTCTTTGATTGTTACAGTTGACGAGAAGATATTCTGCTGCCATGGTGGCTTATCGCCGGACCTTCAGGCGATGGAACAGATCCGGCGGATCATGAGGCCGACTGACGTTCCGGACCAAGGATTGCTCTGCGACCTGCTCTGGTCCGACCCCGACAAAGACACCGCCGGCTGGGGCGAGAACGATCGTGGCGTGAGCTTTACTTTTGGCACTGAGGTGAGGGAAAACAAATCTAGGTCGAATTCTGAATCTTGGTTGTTTCGGATATGCAATTTCTAATTGCAATTTGAATGCTGATACGGATAAATTATGTATGTTTATATAGGGTTTAGTTACGGATATAAAAGTGTTTTTAAGCTTTAAATTACTTATAAGCAATGGTCGGAATATATACAATAATTGTATGTTCCTGGATTTCGAGATTTTACATAAACTCCTCACTCAAGTTTCACACTCGAATCAGGCAGTTCTCGAAATGTGTACCTAAGCACTAATATCACACGACAAACATTTTACATGTTCAAAATATACTCTGTCAAATCTTCCTCGAAGACTGCAGCCACTAGTCAGTTACATCATCCGAGCTTCTGTCATTACTGGTTGCCAAGACCCGAATCACTACCTACACGCTTTTGCAAGGGCTCTTTAAAATTCTCCATCAGTGTTGTGTTAGGTAATAACAGCAGAACGTGTATTATAACATAATGGTAGTTACCACAGAACATTGGGCCCACCCAAACTTTGTCCATCATATTTCCTCTACGAATATTTAAAAAATATTTTAGTGGTCGCAAACGTGTCTTAATATATCCTAGACGATAACAGGAAGATCAGACGACTACCTTATTATAAACATGCATGCATCATGCTTTGTGCTCAAAACAAACACCGCGGTTGACCTTAACGGTTTGATAAAGCGCACGAGGTCGCGCTGATACAATTACTAACATTAGACTTGCCTCTGCGTATCGTGGACCACCACGCTACACATTTCGGTAAAATAATAACTAGAGACTGAAATATTGAAGGAAATAGCTTCAATAGTTGTTTTCACCGATTCTTACTTACTGCAGTTTCATGACTAATCCTTACAGTTTTATTTAAAGAGTATGAAGTCTGAAATACTTTGATATTTATTTATTAGTTCGGATATACAATATTGACCAGTTTAATCATAATGATTTTGCCTATATCAACATTTTGCAGAACAGGAATATCTCCAAGGAAATCAAAATAGATAATAAACGCGCATATACGCATTGATAGTGAGCTATTACAGACATTTTGTTTTATACTATTTTCTCCAGAAACTACATATGATTGGTCGCCTTCGCAAAACAATTCCAATTAGTACCTACTAGCTGGTACCGCGACTTGCGTGGAATTTGAAAAGTGCTGTCTTAGTGGATTAGGTTTACGGACCGGGCAAAATTTAAAGGGTTTTTCTTAATTACTCCTTATATAGACAGCTACTTGGTAGTAAAATATTATCAAAATCGGTCCAGCCGTTTAGAATATTACCCGGAACAAATAGGCAGACAGACAAAAAAAGAACTGACACGTGTTTCCATATTTCATATTTGCAACTTTGCTATATTCTTTAAATATTGTCCATTACAGGTGGTCGGCAAGTTCCTGTCTAAACACGAGTTCGATCTGATATGCCGAGCGCATCAGGTCGTCGAAGACGGTTACGAGTTCTTCGCCAAGAGGCAGCTCGTCACCCTCTTTTCAGCCCCCAACTACTGTGGTGAATTTGACAACGCCGGTAAGTATATGTACCTTTAGCCATTTATGAAATGAATTCCTGAATATTTTGCTCCCTTTAATTTTTGTCATTTGTAAGCTGAAATGAAAGTATTAAGATGGATGTGTGGTGTGACTAAGATGGTCAAGGTGAGAATGGACATATAAGAGGAAGAATGAAAGAAGCACCACTAGATGAAAAGTTGAGAAGCAACAGGTTATCTTCACATCACATCAACAGCTTTTAATAGTCCACTGCTGGACATAGGCCACTCCTTAGAAAGGAGGTTTTGGCCTACTATACCGCGCTGACCAGACAGGTTGGTATAGGGTTTGTGTCAAGTTTTCCTTCTCTCTGTAGTGCTGTTGGTCAGCGTAGATTTCTCCCTTAGTCGGCTCTTACGACACCCACGGGATGAATAGGGGTGGTGACACTCTGTATTCTTAATCCGTCACCACACGGACACATAAAGTGTTGTCCCGTGTGGGGATCGGACCCATAACACTCAGCGTAGTAGTGAGCGGCGTGGCGACCGGTTAAACCACTACGCCATCCGTGCAGCATGATGCGCAGAGATGAGCAAGATGTAAAGACAGTTTTATGTATGAAAGCTAATAGATATAATAGTAGAGGACGACCAAATAAAAATGAATGGACTGCGTGATAGAAGATATAACTAGAAAGTGTATAAGCAGTGAACTGACGAGTGAGAGACCAGAATGGAAGAAGAAAACTGTAAGAAGATAATGATGTCTCGTTTGACCCTTCTTGCACCAACTAATCTGATGCATTTGTGTGTTTCTAGGAGCGCTAATGTCAGTGGACGAGACCCTGATGTGCTCGTTCCAGATCCTCAAGCCGGCCGACAAGCGCAAGCTGTACTCCGGCCTCAACATGGGCCGCCCCAACACGCCGCCGCGCGCACAGCCCAAGAACAAAAAGAAGTGAGTGCACACACCTACACTCTACACGCTATACCTACACTTGTTGTCTACTAAATATTAGTCACTCAAACAGGAATGACTCTATAAACGTATGCCAACCCTAGTTTTAATACAAATAAATAGGGTTGTACCAATTTAATAGCCATAATAAAGCTTTTTTATCTTGCCAATAATAGTTTAGAAGATAACAATATAATTAAAAATTGTTTAGACAATTTAAAATTTAATACCTCGTTACGTGACCTAATTATGTGAAGAAAAAAGCGTCGCCAAATTGTGCCAAAATTATTTAAAAAAAATGCATTAGTGTCAATCCTGTTTGTTAAGGTTATCGAATAATATGTAAACAGAGAAATTGGCATAAATGTTTTGTCTGTTAAATTAAATAATAATGAATGCGTATATGTCCGTCGTGTTAAGAATAAATTATATTTTTAAGTTGATACAGGAGTTTGAATTTCGGGGTCTATAACTGAGTTATAGTAGGCCGAATTACCTAAAAACATTCCCAACAAACTTATAACAAATACGATAAAAACAGAAGGAAATAATTTAAAAAGCAAACTTTTATGTCGTACCCAAAGAATTATCGTGTCACCTACAGGTTTTACCGTCAATTTAATCAGAGACATACGCTTACCGCCTTTTCAAAAGTGGTAAAAAATTGCTCGTTACTTAATCTTATCCAAAAGTATTTTAATTATTTCTAAATTAGGCTTACGCCAACAATCAAAAAGGAATTTCCATTAAAATCGAGTCAGTCGTTTTCGAGTTAACAACCCAAAAATTATTCGATAGAATATGTAGAAATATAGTTCAAGTAATAATCCTAATAATAATATTTTCTAATGACAGAGATATAATATGAAGACGTCGCACTAAAGGTAAAGTGTGGTATTTTGAGTGCGTTTTGCCACGGTAACTTATAATAAACATGCACTGCGTTTTTGCATTGCACAAAACAAATCTTACCGCGGTGTTTAATTGGCGAAGAATCTTTATAACACAATTTCGTTCGTCTTTCTCTTTATATCAACTAATATTGAAAGTAAATTTGCCTTCTGTTTGGACCATTAATCTTTTTTCACACGTAACTTCTAAATATCTATCTATCTTTTAGTTTTATTTTCTTAATTCGCCCGTCCCTATCAAGAATTTAGGATCTGCAAATCAGCAATTTTACAGGAGAACGCGTCAAAGTTTAAAATTACTTAATTTATATATATATATATATATATTTACTTTGTTAACATGGCCATTTCAAAAACTAAAAGGGAAAATTGACTTTTTGGTAAAGCTGTTTAAAAACATTGCTCTTTTTAGGGCAATAGTAAAATAAAAACCATATCAAGAAAGTTGTATATCCGACCTTAATAGGGACAGGCGATTTGAGAGTATTAATAATACATTATTGTATAAATGTATAGGGAATTGATAAACAGTTGTTAAGTTATATAGCTAATATAATTATTGACATTATATCCTTAATTAAGGTTTTAGATTAATTATAATTAGTAACTATTAATCGTATTGTTACCTCTCTTAAAATAAATTTGACTAAATAGTTACTCCAATTTATTATAAGAAGCTGAATCTTGTGTGTGTTGTGTGATTTATTAATTACAGAAAAAAATTAAACAGCCTGTATTACGATAGTTAGAATCGAGGTTTTTATTAACTAATAATAGTAAACATTATAATTTAATACAACTCACATGGAGTAATTTTCAAACCATTTTAAAGTCATATTTAAGTTACTGTTTTTTTGATACCGTCTCCGCAAGGAAATGAATAAAAACGTTAGTACACTTAAGTTTTTTTTACGAAACTGTCATATTCAAAATATTTTTTTCTTGTTGCGTTTTCACGATATCCCACGGGAATTTCAATGCGTTTCAGGTAATAGTGGAACGAAATTCCTTTTTTTAGTGATTATTTTAAATGAAGTAGTTTAGATTTCAAATACTATTCAGACAGTTTATTCATTCATTCTCTCTGTATTATTCATTATTAATACAGAGTTAGTTTTGTTTGAATTAAAATTTAATCCGACTCATGTTTGGATGGATGGGTGGGTGCATGTATCTCATTATACTTACCTGGTTTTCTAAATGCAAATCTACATTCTAACCAAATCCTTCTTAAACACACAACAATTAACGTATAAGAACATTTAAATTATAAGTTTTGTTTGTCGTATTATACATATTATTACAAGTGTTGAAATGGGTGATCAGTATCCTAAAAATGAATGTACCATCTCATTAAAAAAATCATCAGGTCTACCGTGAGCTAATGTGACAGTACATACAGTCGTACATACAGATGACAACTGATCTTTATTCAAAAATTCAAATTAAAAGAAATCCCAATACTTTTTTTAACTTTTTGACACCTGTCAAGTATCATCATCAAGGTGTTGCTACTTAAAAAATGTTGGCAATAATAAATAAAAATGATGACGTAACATGAAAAAGTTGTCACATTAGCTCATTGCAGGCGTCCATGTTGTCCACGAGCTCACGAATGTTTTCTGTTTGTTCCCGATGCGCAGCTAGCCGCCCGCCGACCGCGCCTCCCGCCAGCATGACGGACCCCGCACTCACTCCTGTCACACTCTTCTGACAACCACCACTCTCATTCTCTTACTCTTTGCGTTTATCTCTAACTTTACGAACACTGGACACAAAACTGGCCGAACCACCATCCAAGATTCCTTGCGTCTTAATCAGATCATTGCCAACGAGCGATTGGTTGATTTCGCTAATTTTGTGTACGCGTGTTGTGTAGAGTCCTTCCATGTGAAGCTTTTGAGAAACAACATTTAAATATGGCAGTAAAAAAGTTTAATTGTAAAACGCCTAATAACGTTATTGACTAAAGCCATCTCGTGGGTTTTGTATGGAGAGATTCAAATTTGGTCTACTGAAAGAATTAATTCGATTCGGAATAGTATACAATAGTTCCTTATATATTATTTAAACTAGGATACATACACACCAAATAGATGTTGTCTTTCAGTTAGTCAAACCTCAAGTTCAAAAAATATACCAATTTATTTTATTTATTTATTATTGAGCCAAACAAAAAAAAATACGATTTGTATTTTGAGGTTAACAATTAATGCAGCGACAAGTCATTCAATGAAAGTTGTTAAATTTGACTGCGCTAGTAATTTGTCTACGAGTTTCTGTACATTGTAAAGATTTTACACTCGGGAAAGAAATCTATTGTAAAATATAAAAGAGATGTCAAGTCACATCAAATTTACAACAAATAATCGCTGGAGTGACAGAATTGAGTGCGTGTGAGCAGGACAAACACTTTTGCGAGTCTTACAAAATTTTCTGACAATTTGCAGGCAATGTGCCTCTGCATACATAAAAAAAATATAGTCCTTATTAATTTATGATCAATTACATTTTTAATATGAAATTTATTAAATATTATTCTATGAAATTCTCAAAAGGTTCAAGAAACCAAGTACCTCACTTCATTTGAAAGTAAAATATCAAATTTGATATGTCAATTTTAATTCATCTTAATTTTTGGAGGTACTTAAATATTTTGCCTGGGTTTTTAACTTAATTTATCTAAGTCCACTATGCATGTTATATTATTTGATCAATTGCTGGACGATTGTATCCAGCCGGACAGATGCGTATGGGCTGATATCTTTTTGCAGTTACATAGTTTTTAATATAAGAGTTAATATTCCCTTTAACGTATAACAGACAGACAAAAAGTTAGTCCATTCGACACGTTATGGTGTGTATGTATAATTACTCCGTGATCATTTTTTTATCATAGTGGTACCATAATGCTGTAGCCAAACTGTTTTTTTCTTTTAATTTCAACATGGCGGTCTCGTATTTGGCCTTGGGGCTCGTTTGTGAGCGATTCACATGTGGACGGATGCGTCTTTGTATGCTGCTTATAAATGATAATGTCTGTGGAAGTGCGTGTATGTATGTCTGGTCCTTAGTATACTTGTATTCAATACCCAATTATATATATAAGTTAGTAACGCGACTTGGACTTCGGCGGTCGCAGAACGGTGCGACTTGTCGCTGCGATTTTTTTTTGTTAATGAGATTATGTCCTTGAAGAGTCGCAGTTAAATTTCATAATGACAGGAGACATTCAATGAGGAGACAAATATTGGATCATTATGATAAGTAGTAAGCATAAATATAAAGCAGTAGTATGTTGATAATGTAATGAACAAATGTTTGCGCCCACGATTTGTACACACTTGGTCACAGGTATTTGTGCGATACCCTTATATCGTAGTTGCTTTAAATCTTACACTTTTGAACATTAAGAATATTCTATGGATACATTTATGATAAATAGGTAATGGAAGTAGTTGAAGTATTTAAATATACAGGAATTTGTTGATGGAATGCAACTTAAATAAGTTCTAAAGTTGCAGCGACAATGTTTTAGTTCACATTAAAAGTCCCAAGACAATATTTGTAAAATACGTATTAATGTATTAATAATTCATTGACAGTAAAGTGAGTGTTTCTGTCAGATACTAAGCACTCACATGCATTTACAGTATAAACATATATCGGCTAAGAGATCATTGTAAGTAAGTGTAGCCAAGTGGACGATATGTGGGCGTATTTAGAACTAAACAAATACACCGTCCGCCGGGCGAATAGTTCTTTGTAGCGGTTGCTTTGAACCCTAGGTCTTATGCGATCCTAGCGATTCGCACTTTGCTTGCTCGCGAATAACTCAATGGTCGCTTACTTGTATTGGACACTGACACTTTTAATCTTTGATTTCTAACAGCCAACTACAAAAAAAAGAAATAAAAAAACGCACAATCAGTGTCAATATTTTTGTTTTATAGAAAGAGTACGGTATTCTATATTTAAAATCAACGGTCAAAGTGTTCATTGTTGTCATACTCCACCGATAGTTACCATACTAAAAAATAGGTCGCATAAGAGTCATGGGTAGCGATTACATTGAAGTTATTTTTTTTTTTAATTTAATTGCTATTCAATGTGTTAGACTGACACCCGCGGCTGATTGCCGATTTAATTGAATCATTGATCTATGTATGGAAAGAATTGTATATTAATTTCTTAAATAAAATACTTCTAAAAAATGTATTCTTTTATTTGATTTTACTACTTTTTCCAATTCCTAAGGTGTAACTTCTAAGATAGACTGCCTAAATTATAAAACAATTTGAGGTCAACATGCAAATTATCTACTACTACGACATTTACAAATTTCTTCTATTTTTCATTGACATTGACTAACAGCGTGTAATACGAAAACGATGTTTTTATTATCTGTAACAATTAAAACGAGATTATTATAAAAAAAAAACAAGACGTACTATGGTTTTGTCGACAATTGTACATTTTACAATTTCCTTTAGTCTGAGAATCTAGTATTTTATCAAACAGCAAAAATCAAAAATATTAGAATATACCGCCTACTAATCCCATACCGAAACAGATTACGTATTGGAAAGTTCGAATCTTGAACAAACGAGGATCGTCGATTTTGACGCATTGCGTGCTTGACTGACTCTTAGATCCCTTGGTAGAATAATCTAGCAATTTCCAAGCAGTTAATGGCATACATACAACAACAAATGTATGTAGATCCATAGGCAGAAACTTCCCAGCGCGGATCACCACGAGTTTCTTATTGGCTAGTAGTATGTTTAGGAGAACTCTCCTAGGACCCACGCCCATCGTGTGCCAGACGCTCTGGTAAGCTGCTGTTGAGACACGATCGGCCTGAACAAAATCCAAAGGTAAGTACATGAAGGCCAATTTTCGTAATAACAATTCTTTCAAAATTCCGTTGCGGTCTACTCTCGATCTCACAAAAAGGTATTCTCGTAGTAAAGTATTACTAGATTAGCAGAATACCGATTAAAAGTTTGATCACAATAAAATAAAATCACATTACAATAAACTTTTGTCATAAAAGCACTTTTCGTAGTAAACTATTAAACATCCAAAGTTTATATTAAGATCGAGAGTAGATCGGAACTGAATTTTTGTTACGAGAATTGCCATTCTGTTATTAAAAAAAAAACGATAATGTGTCTCTAGTCGAGGTGTTTTAACGAATTATATTCAAGCGTTTTAGAACGATTATAGGGTAGGTGAACATCAAGTCAAATAATCATCTTTTTTTTCTAATTCAAACAGACGCAGTACTTTTTTATATGACATACTATGGCGTGACCTAGCTTTTGTCAAATAACTTCTACATTAAATGTGTTAATGTAGATTTGAAGATATAAAAATATTGAATTGATTATGGCATACAATTCAAGCTGTACTTCAAGATGAAATAATTCATTCGTTATGTGTAACGAACAAATCATACAAGTTGCCAAGAGTACAAAACGGCCATAAGGTTGTAGAAATCTTAGTAGGTGAGCAAAGTGAGTTTACCTGTATGATAATTTGATTTCCGTAGTAACAGTAAACGAATATGTCCAACGCCACTGCTGCCAAGTATTCCACAGTGGTCATCTCTAATTTCTGAAAATACAGGCATTTTTGTACTTCAGATGTTTGTAAAGATAGATGATATGTGGTCCAGGAAGAGATCAATATTAAAATGTCAAGAACTTTGTGTTTGTGTCGACTTAATTATTATTTTTCTAATAAAAAAATAATTTAAAGAAATTATTTGAGATTATATTGTGAAAGGAAAACATTATTAAAGAAAATTTTATACCTACATGGTTTCAGCACATCATAGCTATTGTCAATTGCAAAAATCAACGCCATCTAACAAAATCAAACCAAACTACGTCCTAAGTAGTAATTCTGTATTGCGATATGCATGTTCGCAATAAAGTATAAAGATTATTCCTACAATTTATTACTCGATATTAACAAAACCTTACCAGTGTGGCGGCGTACAGAAGCGTACACAGATACAACGTGACCTGCACCACCCTCAACGCAAGAAGAGGGGATACGAAATCTTCAAACATCTCCGTATACCGCTTTATCGCTTGACATAACATTGCGCAATCTCTTAAAGCGCTCATTGTAGCAGCATCGTGCTCCTCACTGTAGATATCTGATGATTGCAGAAAAAGATCTTCGTAAATTTCTCGACCAGCCCAATTTTATCGGATTCAGCGCTATGTGTTACTTTGTAAAGAGTTTTGACTAGTTCCTTTTATAGCCCGTTGCCTTTTTTTATGGTATGGGGGGGCAGCCGGGTCACTTGATGGCAAGTGACTACCGCCGCCCATAGTCACCAGCACCTTGAGAGGCACAAGTGTGCTGGCGCCCCTTAAGTCCTTCCCTCCCCAGAACTAGAGGGATCTCCCGCCTCCGGTCTGCCTAACGCCGATCTTCCTTGGTAATGTATTCATTGTTTTCAGATGGAACAGGAATATCCGTAAGGTCCCTAGCGTGATTATCTTATAACGCTCTCTATACATTACTAATTATTAATCTCAATGATAATTCAACAAGTGACAAGCAGATAAACAAAAAACAAATGCACATCACTCATGTCTAAAAAACATTTGCACAATCAAGCACAACACACTTTCTTCCTAAGGATTGGTATCCTATCTCCTTTCATACTGGGCTGCACGGATGGCGTTACTGCCTTTAGCGGTCACATCGCTACTGCTTACTGCGCTGAGTTTTGTGGCTTCGATCTTCACTTGGGACAACACTTTGTAATGCACAAATTCTTGTTCTGAGTCTGGGTGTTCTTTTTGTCCGTCCGTCCGTAGACAACTCCCGCACTAGGAATATATTCTGTGTCGGACACAAAGAATACCCAAACTCAGAACAGCAAATCATCGTGGATCACACAAAGTGTTGTCTCATGTCACCTGTGTGATCGAACTCACAACATTTCATTTGACCGCTTTAAACCACGTGCAGTGGACTTCTTCGTGTGATTTTTCTTTGAATTGGTTTCTTTTACGCTAAGATCTTTTTACTATATAGGGGGCAAACGAGCAAACGGGCCTTATTACTAGTCCTTACCTCGCTGGGCCTAGATAGAATACATACCAAATCGAGTTTTCACATTAGCCGCACTGTGATCCTGGATCAAATAAAGTTTTATTATAATAATAATACAGGTTGCAAAAAAAGAGGTAGGTACAAAAAATGAGAAGAATTGATAAATAGGAAATGCAAAAAATACTCTGAAATCATAGACTTTATTTAAACTTAAACCGTAAAGGTTGTCTATTCTTTCTCCGTCATATTAAGCGCTCTTCAATTCATATTATCTATGGTGATTATTAACACTTGTACTACGAGGGCCTTCTCCTTTCATTTTCTCTTCAAAAGGTTAATTTTGAAGGATTGAAACAACAAATAAATTGAAGTTTTCTCCTCTTTTCGTATCTTTCAAAAAACAGAAACAGTATCACAGAAAGAAAAATGCAGTAACTTTTTTCTTTCTGTGATACTTATCAAAAGTCATTTTTGTTAGGCTTTCAACTTAGTATCTTATGATTAAGTTTTCTAATGCGTTAGTCTGATACTGCTCTGTGATGGACATCCTAAGTTTATTAATGTTAAAAATGAATCCTGTTATAACAAGAGGCAAAAGGCAACTTACCGTCTTCTCGTCATAATGAAAATATGACTGCTCTATCTCTGATATGTTATAACTATAGCTGTGTTGTTCATCGTTTTGAATATCTGCATGAGCGGCGACCAATGCACTATGCTTGACGCCATTTTGTAACAACGCTGTAAACTTTGCGTTGCGAAGACTACAACACAACAGGTCTAACTGTCCACAGATCAGGATCGAGTTTGAAGCGAAGAATACTCCTGGAGGTATTTGATATATTTTTGTTTTATTAATATTTTTAAGTTTATGGCAACATTTTCAAGCTATTAACACTCAGAAGAATCTGATGGCGAATGCGTTGGTACCTTCTTGTTTAGCGGATATAATTTAATTAATGTGTTAATTTATGGCATTTTTTAATTCCCTAAGGGGTAATGCAAGTGTTTTTTTACTAGTATAGAAACTAATTTAATCTTCGACCAATAATGGTTTAAAATAAAATTATGCTTCTTTATCTGTTGGTTAGTTATAGTATATACTAGCTGAGACCCGCGGTGTTACCCGCGTTTGTTGTTATAACCGCGGGCAACGCCGCGGGGCGAAGCTAGCCTAAGTTACTCCTTATGTCATCAGCTATCTGCCAGTGAAAGTCCCGTCGAAATCGGTCCAGCCGTTCCAGAGATTACCCGGAACAAACAGACAGACAGACAAAAATTGAAAAAAATGTTTTTTTGGCATATGTAAACATACATATGCATTTAGTAAAAATCGGTTATTTTAATATGACAAACAGACACTCCAATTTTATTTATTTGTATAGATTTTAAGTGTCTTGACATTGATTTGAATTAGCGAGGTTAAGCAAAATTTACTCACCAAACTGCCCAATTGCAAGCCCAACGTAAAACTGAGACAAACATGTTACCAGGAACACGAAAATGAACTTTAAGAACGAAGACTTTGTTATGTCTATCAGGAGCCAACTTTGCATAGGTTCTTTAGTCCATACTGCGAACAATATATATCACAAATGGAATTATTTCAACCTATATTCATGCATAGCGAAGTAAAAGCATTTTATGTTTTACATGATGGGTTTTATACAAACTTAATGCTATAATAAAGGTTACTTACAATGAACAATAACTGGCATTGTCGCATACATAGAGACGCTAAACATGGTACAAGCTGTATAAATTCTCCAAAACCTCTTCGCCGCTTCATAACTCTTGCACATGCTCATATTAGTCAAACCCTGAGCCGAATTATACTTGAAATTCTTCTCCATATACTCCAACAGTTCGTACAACTCCTTGCGATACACAGCATAGTACACAACGATCACAAAAGAAACCAGAAGAGGAAGAGAATCAGAGATTTTGTCCAAACTAGACATTACGTCTTCCCATTCCGAGTGCAAATATACTGCTAAGGCTAGAGTTACGTAGCTTAGTACTAATAAAACAAAGCCTAGATACCCGTTGTTAATAAAACTAAATATTTTTTCATCTTTGTGTCTAAATAAATCCCAACAAGCTACAATTTTTAATGGTGCTTCGAGGTAGTCCACGTAGCGTGCAGTTCTTTCAGTATTTAATGTGATCCTGAAATCTTTTTTTGCTGGCATCTTTTATATTTCGAAAAAACAATACACGGAACAAATATCTCGTAAAGTACTACAGGGTTCTGAATTCAATCTGACTAATGTGCGTATTAAAGGGTTGTGCAGATAATTTATGAATATTGTAGGCCATTGTTTAGAAAGTTTACTAATTGTAAATGAAAATTAACCCAATTATCTACTTGTATTTCTAACTGGTGTTCTACGAAGTTATTGTCAATTAATTATACTTAGCAAAGTTAGTCTTAATTACTGTTTGAGTTTAATCGTTCTGTTAATATTATTTGACGTAGTTCCTTCAATATAAATGATATATTATAAAAATAATAATAGTTTAAAAAACTAAAAAACACGCTTTTTACGGAAAACCAAAATGAAATAGAAAATAAATTTTAATAAGTTTGAAAAAAACGCGTTGGGTGCCTGTGGTCAATAGTGTAAAGCACCCCGCGGTTTTTTTTTTATTTATTTTTTCTTTGTTATTTTAAATTAGTGTAAAGTCATCGGTCCTCGATATGTCTACAAAGTTTGACCGAATTCTGACTGTTTGAAGTCAGTCAAAATCACGCCCAAAGGAGTCGGTTACAAACAAACTAACATACAAGTGAAGCTAATAAAAAGCGTGTAATTAAATTTAAACTACTACACGTTACTACGTTCTTTCTTTCTTAGTAACATGAGTTACACAATACATCCAGCCAGGATTTGCAGGACATGCCACCGTGGTATCCGAGGTGGTATCCCAGGGGATTTCCGCACGTAAAAAAAAAAAAAAAAAGGGTAGGGCAAATCGTTTCGTGATTCGTGCTTTTTGATGATTTATTATTTCCATAATCTAGAAAAATTGCCGCTTCCTACTAAATTGAGTGTGTGAGTTCGATTCCCACATGAGACACCTCTTTGTGTGATCCAAAAATTGTTGTTCTGAGTCTAGGTGTTTTTTTGTGTCTGTTTCATAACGTATATTCGTAAAGTCACCCGCGACACGGGACATATCTTATATTCTTTATGCCGGGTTGTCGTCCACATCACATCATCATCATCACATCAACAGCTTTAATAGTCCACTGCTGGACATAGGCCTCTCCTTAGAAAGGAGGTTTTGGCCTACTATATCACGCTGGCCAGACGGGTTGGTATAGGGTTTGTGTCAAGATTTCCTTCTTTTTGCAGTGCTGGTGTCCTGCGTTGTTTAGCGCCCTTAGTCGGCTTTTACGACACCCACGGGATGAATTAGGGTAGTGACATTCCGTATTCTTAATCCGTTCTGTTTGATTCCAGTTCACTAAATGCAAAAATTGATGATAGTTAGGTATCGGTATTGATTCGTACAAAACCATGATCGACTGACAGACAACTTGAAATAGGTTTGTTGGTGCCGCGACGATACGTCATCACCTAGCGCTAGCCCGTGGAAGGCAAGCGGGCTTAGTTTAATAGTTAGGCGATATCTAGACTCCCAATGCCCAAGCACACCACCCCTTCACTGGAGACTGTACAGCGAGTGAAGGAGATATAGCCTGTCTTATACACCACCGGTCAGTCTGTATTCTTAAAATATGCATGGATACAAAACAAATAACTTAATTTCATACAGAAGTAAAAAAAAAACTGAATTTTACTAACGATTTACTATATTTAATTAATAAATAAAGAATTTTTAAAATATACATTCTAATAAAATTTTAAACTAAAAATTAGAACAAATAAGAGACTACAGGATACACACTAGAGTTGTGTAGCTCCTGAATGAGTGATATAAAAGATATATATCATTCACGACGATAAAATGTATCACTCACTCACACTAGCTCCAAATATATCAGTAACTCAGTACTAGCTCACTAGATCACTAGCTCAACGACGCCGATCTTTGTTTCATGAGCGAGTGAGACTAAAGATAAATGAGTGAGATAGATGATGGTTGAGTTCACGCAAGTTTCTTTATGCAAAATGTACATTATTTCTATAGGATCAAAGTTTAATATTACTTAAGAATTAAGCCTGCCAAGTACAAGGAAAATCAAATTATGTACGATTTCTATTATACAACCTAAAAAAAGTACAAGAAATAATTTCTTTTTTTAAGTATTATATAAAATTGTGTTAATAATTATGTAATCTTATCAAAATGAATAAATTTTATTTAAAAAAAAAAGGTTAAGAATGTAGTTTCAAAAACTGAATTTAGGTTAATATGAAAATAAAGAAAGGTTTGTATGGCGAGAGAGGCTTAAAGTGGCTTAAAGGCTTAGATGAAGAAATGAATTAATTGAGAGACCAATCAATTGAATCGGATCAATGAGCTAGTGAGCTAAATGAGTTGGTGAGCTAAATGAGTTGGTGAGCTAAATGAGTTAGTGAGCTAAATGAGCTAGTGAGCTAGATGAGTGATATATATCTTTAGAGCGAAATGATATGTATCAATCTTTTCAGCTCAGTGATACATTTTGCGCATCACTAATACACACATTTCTAACTGCTTGTTCCGATTTCTTGCCAAGTGACTGTTCGTGCTGAGAAATTAATTAGTCGCCATTGATTCACAATCTCTGAAAGAGAAACGATTACCTAGTTACTAGAAAAATACATTATAATCACAATAGAGATTAGTTGGTGACATTTTGTCTACTTTCATAATGTCATCACGTCCGTACTACTCGTATATCTATTCTTGATCATCGAAGATCTTTTTCGCCCTTTTTATACGACGAGTAGGGAGTATTTTATAGCAATAAAACCACACCACATACTCAGAACGTAGGTATTTAATGAATATTATCGTGGCTTCTTATATATTCTATGGTAACAAAACGATAGCGCGACTTTAAAATCAACGTCAACGCCATCTATCGAGACATGAGGTAAACTTTGCGTACAAAATTGACTTAATGTTTAGGTTTGATTTCTAAAATACTATGACGTGAACATTCCGCCCACCAAGGACCTAGTCCTTTTAAGCCGCCCACCATGGCAAAATCTAGAGTAAATATACGAAAAACTTTAGTGTTAAACTAAAATCCTTGGTGTTCGGAGATCATAGTGTTCATTTTGTAAATAACATTAAGACATAAAAAAAAATGTAAACATAAAATACACAAAAAGCGGTTTAGGTTTACCAACAATCAAACTAGTTACTCTAATTAATTTTATATTTTTAAACGTAGTATCAGAGTGGACTGTATATAAAATAACGAAATAACATATAAAAGAATGAAATAACGAATTAAAATACAAAACAATAAAATTACGCGTTTGTCAGTCATCGTTGACAGGCAAAACACACAGCTTAGAAGTTGGGCGTTGGACTCGGGAGCCCTTACACTGAAGGGTTACTACACGTACTAAGTTATCCTTGCCAGGGTGTAGTTTAACTACCTTCCCATATAACCACTTGGCAGGTGGTAAATTGTCTTCCTTTATGAGGACAACATCTCCAACTCTCGGATCTCGCGTCCGTTTAGCCCACTTATGTCGTTGAAAAAATATAGTTAAATATTCCTGAGACCAACGTTTCCAGAAAGTTTGAATCATTCTTTGTGTCAATTGCCAACGTCTCAGGCTACTCACTGCTGCATGTTCATAATCATAATCTGGTGCTATTACCAGTGGCTGACCGACCAAGAAATGTCCTGGTGTCAATGGGTTGGGGTCTGACGAGTTCTCACTAGACTGTGAAATGGGCCTGGAGTTCAGACAAGCCTCGATTTGGGATAGGACGGTACTCAGCTCCTCAAAAGTCAGCGTCGATTCGCCGATCACCCTTTTGAGGTGATGTTTTGTACTTTTGATCCCAGCTTCCCATAGACCTCCAAAATTCGGAGAATGAGGTGGGATGAAATGCCACTCGGTTCCATTATTAGCCAATATAGAGGCAATTTCTTGGGGGAGAGAAGCGCTCTCATCGCGAAACATTGCCCTAAGCTCTTTTGACGCCCCCACAAAGTTCGTGCCATTGTCGCTGTATAGGTGACTACAGTGACCCCGTCTAGCCACAAAACGTTTAAATGTAGCGAGAAAGCCTTGAGAGGTCAGATCTGAGACTGCATCTATATGCACAGCTCGGGTTGCCATGCATACGAACAGACATATGTAGCCTTTGTAAGATTTATGTCCACGACCCCTTGCTGTTCTTATTTGAATCGGTCCCGCGTAGTCGACACCTGAATGGAGAAAAGGCTTACTTGGAGTCACTCTGCATGATGGCAGCTGACCCATTAATTGGTTGTTTGGTTTGGCTGCGTGACGGATACACGGTACGCAGTCGCGGATATGAGCCTTAATCAAATTCTTGGCTCGAACAATCCAATATTTTGAGCGAAGAAAATTAAGTGTTAATTGTGGCCCGCCATGTAAAACACGCTCATGAGCATCCGCTATGAGTAATTTTGTCAAATGGGACTGATGAGGAACTATGATGGGATGCTTCCTATCATCACTTAGTTGTGCATTTTGGATTCTACCCCCTACTCGCATCAAGTCCTTATCATCCAAGTAAGGATTCAAAGAACCTAAGCCGCTGCCCTTTCTGAAGTCTCTTTCGGTTTTGATTGCCTTTATTTCTGTCTCAAACCAAACCTTTTGACTCTGCCTGAGACAGCAATGCATGGTTTCCGTAATCTCAGAAGCTGTAAGGTAGTATGGTAACTTGGACCGTGATTCTCTGGATATCTTGAATTTTAAGAATCGTCTGCAATAGGTCAGAGTCCTGATCAATCTGCGGAACGATGAAAATCGAGACCACATTAGTTCAATCGGGTGGTCCTCTATCTGTGCTGCATGAACCCGGGACGATTTTAGTTCCAGTTTAGTCATTATAGCCTTAGGTCTGCAATATTCTATGGTATCAGCAAGCAACCACGATGGTCCATGCTTCCAAAGCGGGTCGTCTAACAAAGATGTTGGTGTTGCACCTCTCGAAGCAATGTCAGCGGGATTGCTTTTTGTATCGACATAATGACATTGAGTGGCATCAAGGGCATTAAGAATTTCAGACGTGCGGTTTGCGACAAACGTTTTCCATCGACTCGGATGATCGCTCAACCAAGCCAACACGACTGTAGAATCTGTCCAAGCATGTATGTCGGCCTTTTGGATATTCAAAACATGAGCCACTTCCAAAAGCAATTTGATAACTAAAACCGCGCCACATAGCTCCAGTCGTGGTATAGAAATTTGTTTAATTGGAGCCACCTTCGTTTTTGCAGTCACCAGATTACAGTGGACCCGACCTACAGCATCGATGACTCTGATATAAACAGCCGCGGCGTATGCTACGCTAGATGCATCAGAGAAACCATGAAGTTCAACAGTTCGATCATCGCTTTTTCTTTTCAGCCACCTTGGAATTCGAAAGTTGTTAAGTGTTTGCAACCCACTACGGTAAGACTGCCACTCTGTCAGCAGATCTTCTGATAGTTCTTCATCCCAATTCAGACCAGCGATCCATAGTTTTTGGATGAAGATTTTAGCGGTAATTATACAAGGTGCAATCCAACCTAGCGGATCATATAAACGGGATATCTCTGATATAACTGTTCTTTTAGTTTCAGATGCAGACGGCGGCAACGGCGACGATATTGAAAATGGTAAGTTTACAGTATAATGGAACTCGTCGGAATTGCGGTTCCAGGTAAGTCCTAGAATTCTAGTGGTTTCATCTTCTTTTATATCCAGATCTCTTCCAGTATCCAGCTTTATCTGATTTAGCAACTCTTCTCGGTTACTTGTCCATTTTTGTAAAGTGAAACCTGTTTTTTTTAAAAGTGCATTAAACTCATAATAGATTTTTACAGCTTCTTCCTCAGTCTGACAACCTGTCATTAGGTCATCCATATAAAAATCTGTCCTAACCCTACTAGCAGCGCATGGATACGATTGACCTTCATCACTGGCAGTTTGCTGCAATGCCTTGACTGCTAGGTAAGGAGCACTAGAGGTGCCAAATGTAACTCTCAAAAGCCTGTATTCCTTTATATCGGAATGAACGTCATCCCGCCACAAAATCCTTTGGAAGTCCACGTGATCATCAGCTACCTTTACTTGGCGATACATTTTCACGATATCGGCTGCCAAGCATATTGGATGTTGTCGCCATCGCATAACTGTATGACGTAAATCAGCCTGTAAAAGTGGTCCTACCATTAAGGTGTCATTTAAGGAAACTCCGTCTGAATCCTTGGATGACGCATCAAATACCACTCTCAATTTAGTGGTAGACTTGTCTTCGCGAATCACAGCATGATGCGGTAAGTAAACAGCGTCAACTTTATTTTTGTCCTTTTCATTATAAATCTCTTCCATATGACCTAGTGATAAATACTCCTTTATTACCGAAGTATATTGTCCTTTTAACTCGCTATTTTTTGCTAGTTTCCTCTCAAGACTATGGAATCTTTTTAACGCTATTTCTTTTGTGTTGCGGGGTGTTTTACTGGAACGAAAAGGCAGTTTTACGATGTAGCGTCCATCTGCATCTCTGCATGTGGTAGCAGCAAAGTAATCTTCACATGCTTGCTCTTCAGGGCTAAGAAATGACTTTTCAGAGCATGTTGGCTCTGCCTCTATTTCCCAAAACCTTTTTAGGATTGCGTTTTCTTCGACCTTAGTGTGCATGCTTAGAATTAGATTATGACAAGCCGTCTCTCCATCTTTATTGCTGACCTCTCCTGATATGATCCAGCCAAGGTAAGTATCTTGAGCCATTGTTCTACCCTGGGGGTCCTTGAGTAAGCCTTCTTTAAGGACCTTGGCATAGACTCCCGATCCTAACAAAATATCAATTTTGTTAGGTTTATTGAAATTTGGATCAGCCAAATTAATGCTACTAAGCTCTGGCCAATCCACCAATGTAAATTTCCTTTCAGGTAATATTGAAGTCACCTTACTCAGCACATAAGCCTTAAATTGAAAGGTAAAGTCAGGATCCCGTAACGATTGAATGTTTACATTAACCATAAATTTCGATGTTAGATCACTCTGACTCCCACCTACACCTGAGATAGATGTTTTAACCGCTATCTTTCTTAACTTTAATAACTGTACAGCCGATTCTGTAATAAAAGAAGCTTGAGAACCCTGGTCTAACAGGGCTCTCAAAACTTGTGTATGCCCATTTCTCGATCTAGCCTTAATAAGGGCTGTAGCCAGTATGACCTGACTATGAATATTTTTAGCAAAATGGGTTGTAATATGCGGTCCAATAGTGGCCTCGTTCTGTGGTGTTTCATTTTGCATTGGAGATGCGTAAGAGCTTGGCTCCGCGACAGAGTCCGGTTTTAGATGCAAGAGTGTATGATGCTTTCTACTGCAAATTTTGCATTTAGTATTTACTCGACAATTAACAATAAGATGGCTTGAGCGAAGACAATTAAAACACAAACCATGAGATTTAACTATATGACGACGCTTTTCGACGGTCTCCTGAGCGAACTTTTTACAATAACACAAAAGGTGCTCCTCGGAACAATGAGGACAGGATATTTTTGAAACCACGTGAAACGCTTTAGTACTGCTTTTAGACTTACTACTTTGAGGTTCTACAAATTCAAAAGCCCGAAAACGTTTATCCAAAAAATCTCGAAAATCCTTGAAGGTGGGAAGTTCCTCACAAGATTGACTCACCTGCAATTCCCACTGTTTCCGAGTCTCAACGTCCAACTTGGAGCTTATTAAATAAATAATAATGATATCCCAAGCGTCTACCTTCACCCCTAGATTTGCTAATTCGTGTAAACAATCGGTTGTAGTATCTAAAAGCTCCTTGAGCGCAACAGATGACTCAGTCGTCATTTGTTTTTGGTTTAGTAAACGCTTGAGAATACAATTGGCTAAAAATCTTTTGTTATTGTAACGACTGCTTAACAGCGTCCAACATTTTTTATAATTTGCATGCGTGATCGGTATGTGCTTAATGAGCTGTGATGGCTCTCCCGACAGCTGAGATCTTAAATAGTGTAAGCGTTGTACATCATCCAGAGCTTGATTACTATCGATTAGTGATAAAAACAAATCTCTAAACGTTGACCATTCCTGATATTTACCACTAAAAATCGGGATTGTTATTTTTGGTAATTTAGCAATTGACACTATTCTCGGTTGTGCATGGCCTGATGAGGCATCATCACTCATTTTACAAGACTGAGATTTTGGTAAAGCATTTTTTAATTCAACTTTATAATTTATAAAAGTGTCGGTGACTGCCTCAAACACATCATTTTTGATGTAACTGGTTGCATTCAACTCACTCTCTGTATAGTTAACCAAAAGCTCTTCATGTTTTCTTGTGAATTCTTCATACTGTTTGTCTAATATTTCCCAACGTGAGTCTACATATGCCTGATTAATTCTGTCTTTTGGTGACTTTTTGAAGTTAATAAGCCCCTTCTGGATACGACTTTTAATATCTTCCAACACCCTTAACTTAGCCTCCATGATTCCTATTACAATTACTTCAGTGTAATAAGCCAATAATTTTATGTGCCTAATTTGCTAAGTGTCACCGTGGTTAAATTTTACTAAGTGTTTGAATGTCGTAAATTTTCTAAGTGTTTGAACTGCGCTTTAATTCTAAGCGAAATCGGGCATAGATTCGGGGTCTCTTCACTTTTTTGCAAATTATTCTAAGTCCCAAGTTTCTTCAAATTTTTCTAAGTCCATGCATTAACTTTAAACTCTCTAACACTTGGAACTGTTAATAAAGTAAATGTACTTACAGTTTTTAAGTTGCACTTATCACTTTAAAATCACTTTCCTTTAACACTCCACTTGGCACCGTCAACCTTGCTCCGCTCAGCTCCGTCGATCACGCTTCGTTGGCTCCACTCAGCTTGGGTCAGCTTCAAACTTGCACCAATTCGACTAACTATCTGCTACTTAACTCTCAACTACTCCACTAGAGGGCGCTTTTAGCTTTTTCAAAAAACGTTCCGGATCGTAGGACCTTATGATCATCGAAGATCTTTTTCGCCCTTTTTATACGACGAGTAGGGAGTATTTTATAGCAATAAAACCACACCACATACTCAGAACGTAGGTATTTAATGAATATTATCGTGGCTTCTTATATATTCTATGGTAACAAAACGATAGCGCGACTTTAAAATCAACGTCAACGCCATCTATCGAGACATGAGGTAAACTTTGCGTACAAAATTGACTTAATGTTTAGGTTTGATTTCTAAAATACTATGACGTGAACAATTCTAATAATATAAAACTGTATAAAGTTCGTTTGTTTGTATGCGCTAATGTCAGGAACTACTGGTCCGATTTGAAATTCTTTCAGTGTAAGATAGCCCATTTATTTAAGAAGGCTATATATCATCACGCTAAGACCAACAGGAGCGGAGCACCAATGATGAATGTTGCAAAAACGGGGAAAATTTATTCCTTTAAAAGACGCAGACAAAGTCAGCGAGTCAGCTAGTCTTTTATAAATATGAATAGGTACTACTCAAAAAAAGATTAGGGTATATAAGCATGGGCACGCCGTCATTGCGGCGGTAAGACCCGTTATGGAGGATTGGCTCGAGAGGCGTCACGGGACCCTCTCATACCGATTGACGCAGGTGATCACTGGGAAGGGATGTTTCGGAGATCACCTGTGTCTGATCCGCAAGGAGCCAACGCCTGAGTGCCACCACTGCGATGGCCAGACCGTGGACACGGCTCTCCACACGCTGGCAGAGTGCCCGGCGTGGGTTGAGCAGAGGCGAGACCTCGTGGCGGCCATCGGAGTGGGAGTTCTCTCGCTCGATAGCCTGATTGCGGCTATCGTGCGGAGCGAGAGTGCGTGGAACTCTGCCGTGTCCTTCTGCGAGCAAGTTATGCTCGCGAAGGAGACGGCGGAGCGGGACCGGGAGAGGTTTAGAACTCTCCCGGCCCGCCAGGCCCGGGCACGGGCCAGGCAGCGCAGGCGACTCAGGCGCCGGAGGTCGCAGAACGACCTCCGTCCTCCATAAGCGCAGGCCTGGGGGTGACAGGTGAGGCCATCTGTCACCCTAGCAGAAGCAGGCCGGGGTGGCGGCGAGCGCGTTGCGAAGCGCGCTCGCTTCCAGGGAGCACAGGGAACATGGGGTTCCCACACGGGGCGGGGGTCGTCTACTCGTCTGTAGATGACCCGAGGTATGTCGGGGCACCAGGGCCTTCCTTTCTAGGGTATACCTGGTTCCCCGGCTATTAGTACCCGGCGAAGGCGTGCGGTTTTAGTCGGTTCGAGTCCGACATGCCACCGACAGGTGGTATCCGAGGGGATTTCCGCACGGGAAAAAAAAAAAAAAAAAAAAAAAAAAAAAAAAAAAAAGGGTATAAGCATTCTATCAGCCACTAGCTTTCATAGCACAAGCTCTGCTTAATTTGAAACCAGATGGCGTTGTGTGTCAGATGTCCGAAAATATTATTGTATTGTAATTTTTTTTCACTTTCTATCAGGTAACCCGTCTGCTCGTCTGCCTGCTCTTCCATAAAAGTAAAAAATACATACATACTATAAATAATTTACGATTACACCTAGACACAGAACAAACGACCACTTGAAGATGATACACCAAACACTTACTTATCCCTTGATCGTCTTTGAGCAATTTTATAAATCCTTCTCAGTTCCAGCAGCGCTCTCATTATGACGACAAGTTGTGACTCAAAGTCATCCGTGTCCACGTCTATGGTGAGACCCTTGTGCTTGCAAATCTTCACGTACAAGCTCCAGATGGCAGATCGGACGTGGCACAATTCCACATGACGAGCAGCTGCAGTTTCTTTAAGGCGGTTCAGAGCTAATTCCCATTTTATGACACGATTGCGTATTTGGTCGTAGCGCCACTGTTAAGGAACAGATATTATTATTGGCTGATGTGCCATTTAATACTGAGCATATCTATTTTATTATACAATGTTATTGAACAATATACATTTTATATTTATTGTACGTGTGGTGACGGATTAAGAATACAAATTGTCACCACCCCAATTCATCCCGTGGGTGTCATAAGAGCCGACTAAGGGAGCAAACTAAGCAGGACAACAGCACTGCAAAGAGAAGGAAAACTTGAAACAAACCCTATACCAACCCGTCTGGCCAGCGTGGTATAGTAGGCCAAAACCTCCTTTCTAAGGAGAGGCCTATGTCCAGCAGTGGACTAGTATAGGTTGTTGATGATGATGATGATGATGTGATGAGGAAAGGAAGGAATTTCGACATATACCATTTTTTATTAAATCTCTCATACCATTGATTTATGATATCGTCAAACGTGAACTGACAAAATATGTTATCATAAAACGTTGGCATTTAAACGACATCGTCAGTTTGTGTTCGCCACATCATGAAGGGATTAGCTTTATGATCTGACTGAAATTATGTGAAGTAATAAAAAGAGACTCTCTGAGCTAGATTAAGTAAAGAAGTTATCGCGGGTAAAGCATACCCGTACTAGAGATTTTAAACGGACAAAAATTGTAACTTTTTTTTATAACTACTGCGTAAGCAAACAGAGACATTAAATTTATTGGAATGAAGTTGCTTATCGCGCGTTACACGCTCTGAGCGGATGGTAGCGAGATCGAAAAATGTGTAACAAGACTTTTTTTCCGACACTATAGCAAACGTCTACCAAAAAGCAAAAGAAACTTTGTTCCGACCGGGGGTCCCTAGACCCTTCACGCCGTTTTTTTTTTGTAAAATATTCTTCTTTCTTATTCCTCCATGTCTTTTTCAAAAACTAGGTTGAGTTCAGCTTTAAGTCTAATATGTTACAGCTGAACTTGGTTTTTTTTTACTTGGAGCGAGTGCCACCAGACCTCCACAACCCAAGTACTAGCCGAAATACGAAGTTCTGTAGAAAGACTTTTTAGGGCTACCCGTAACGATTGCCATAGGTTTTCGAATGACAATCGGGACCAACGGCCTAACATGCTCTCCGAGGCACGGAGGGGTCTCAATGTGTTATGAATTGGCGCCTATCCATCACCTGGCTATGATTGCTTAATTTTGTAATGTGGTAACCTACTGGGTTACCGGAGTGATACTACGGCCTCACAGAAAACCTTTATTAAGCAATTCTTTCGTTGCCTTTCACTGCGTGAGTGAGGTTACCAGAGCCCAAATTCCGCTGACGGACTGGAGGGACTCAACGGGCAGCAACGCACTTGTGACTTTTGAGTTGCAGGTGTCCATGGGCGGCGGTAGTTGCTTACCATCAGGTGACCCGTCTGCTCGTTTGCCGCCTCATACCATAAAAAAAAGCTTAGCCACGAGCGAGATATTCAAAACATTCAAACAATAAAAATTATAACTAAACTGATATTAACAAATATCCAATCTTATTCGGTAACTTACTAATCAAAGACCAGAGGATACCTACATATGTTCCACAATAAAAAAAAAATATTGATTTAGAAAGGAGCGATATAAGACTTATCTTATCGATCAAAGACAACACACCACCGTCTTCAGACTAAAGATCATCACATCACACATCAAGAGCCTTTAATAGTCCACTGCTGGACATAGGCCTCTCCTTAGAAAGGAGGTATTGGCATACTATACCACGCTGGCCAGACCTGTTGGTATTGGGTTTATTTCAAATATTCCTTCTCTTTGCAGTTTTGTTCTCATGCGTAGATTAGTCCCTTAGTCTACTCTTACGACAAACATGGGATGAATAGGGGTGGTGACATTCCGTATTCTTAATCCGTCTCCACACGGATAAAGGTAACGGTACGTTGATACGAAAAGCATCTCAACTGATGATAAAACCTACTCTTATCATATCAATACGATAAAAAAAAAGCCAGTCGCCATATTGCGTTCTAAAATCAAATAATTCAGGGCTGAATGGGGATGAATAGGGTTGGTGACACTCCGTATTCTTAATCCGTCACTAAAGACCATATTACTCGTATTTTAAAATGAAAAGCCATACTCTCAAGTCCGCGAGCGTATTGTTTAGGCCCATGATGAAAAGTTTCTTCTCCTCAGTAAGTGAAGCGATCTCCTGTCGGGCTTCCTCCAACATCTCTAAGTCACGCTCTTGACGCTCGGCCAGTGTAGACTTCGCCGCAGCTTATAAACAATAGAAAAAATTATGTATAAATAAAATACTCCACCACCTATATTCAGTATCTTTTCTTATTTATAGTGAATTTACAATTGCAATGCCCGATTGGGTAACTGTTGAAACTTTACCTACTACTAAACATCTATCTATGTAAAACAGTTATTTTGCAATAAATTTCTTTGTCTTTACTATAATTATGCACTGTGTCACGTTAACTCTGCCTATATCGCTGGACCGATTTTGATGAATTTTATAGTGAAGTTAGTCGCTCCCGTTATGAAGTCATTGTGTGTTTAAGTCGCTCCCCGTTGATTTTTTCATAATTGGACCCAATAGCTAGCGGTGCGACCGGTACCTATCAGATTGTTATTCCGTCCTAAACTTGTGTGCTTTTTTTTTATTTAAAATGTCGTGGGGGACTTTATAAACATACATTAAACGGACACAAAGAACACCCAGACTCAGAACAACAATTTGTGAATCACACAAAGTGTTGTCCCATGTGGGGATCGGACCCATAACACTCAGCGCAGTAGAAAGCGGCGAGGTGACCGCTTAAACCACTACCTACCTACCACAGTCACAACCAAACCTTTATACCAAAGGCAGCTTCTCAACTTCACAGACGAACGAATCAGAATAATGTGTCCTATTATAATAATCGCTATTGTGTAACTTTGAATAGGAAAAAAGATATTAGTCCATATGTATGTTATTTCCCAAAATGTCTTAAAAGCTAAATTGTACCAATTATAATTGTCACTCACCTAGTGCTTCATATCTATTGAGGACGTCGAGGGGCTGCTTGAACTCGGGGTAGTTGTTCACCACAGACATCAGGTAATCCTATATAAACAATATGCTTGCCTTGAATATAATTATTGAGATAAATGTTTACATATATTTATTACATTTTATTTAGAGTTTATACGATTATCTTTACATAATTTAAAAAGAAGTCGATTTTCGTTCTTGTACGCTTAGATCTTTCAATCTACACAAAGGATTTTAATGCAGTTTGCATCAAAAGAGGCGGTAATTGAAGAGGAAGATTTATATTCATCCATTTTATTGTAGAGGAAATTTGAGAATTTCAAAGATTTGTAAATAACGTGTTTTTATGCGCTATGGATGTTTAACATTGCAAACGCTGGATTAACCGTACGAGATAAATCAAAGTAATGTACTACGGAATTGTATCTCTTAAAAAGATCTACAAAAAAAGTCCGCGATGGTTTATGTCTAACTCCTAAAGATACCCACAGTAATCATTTATTTTAAACAATATCCAATTGAATATAGTTACGTTTTGCATTTTTTTTTGCCCATTCTAGTATTGGATTAAAATGAACATTTTAGAATATATGAGAGATTTAAAATGCGTCCGTCCCGTGTAGCATCGACCGGCAGGCCCGGCAGGCGCGAAGCGCGCATAGATATCTTATCTCTGTTGTAGTTAGTTTTGATGTTTAAAGAGTAATAGCTATCGCACAACTTCTAAAATATACTTACCTGAAAAAAATTGTACAAATCACGAAATATTTAAAAAATACTTTAATGAAGTTGTTTCTTGCCTAAAACGGGTAGGAACTAACTACGAAACCATAGTTGGCAAATTTTCCTTTATTTTACATAAAGGAGGCTTAGAAAGGAGATTTTCGCCTACTATAATACGTATACTTTAGGTTAATTAGTTTCGTGATCGGCAACGCTGATATTAATTAACACATATTGCATATATAAAACTTTATAAACAATTAGAAAAAAATTAATACAACCAAAATTGCGAACTTCTTAATTTTTTTACCTGTTAGCAAACATACTCACTTCGTATATAGTATAGTCCTTAACTTGTTTTTCCATCATCTGCTTGACCTCTTCCATTTCTATGACCCTTTGACGCATAGCTTCTGTTTCTTTTGTTTTGCGTTCTAACACCTCAGTGTCCGCAACCATCTTACGTTCTGCTCTGTCGCGCTTCTCTTGATTTTCGCGAATAAACTTTGAACATAAGATGTAGAACATAAGAAATTAATTAATAATTATTGTTGTTGTTACTAGTAACTTGGGATTGCAAAAATGTTATGTATGTGACGGAGAGACGGCACGAACACAAATTTCTAAACCAAATAAGAACAATCCTCAAAATAGAATACTGGCTAAATGGAATGTGAATGGTCGACAAAAAAACACAATCAAATCAGTTGTTTTCAATTTAGTAAATGTTATCTACCTGGACATCTTGAAATATAAATTGGAAAACCACAATATACATATTTTCAATAGCTGTGGAAGTGTTTCGGCTAACATCACGATGACGACGACACTAATTATACAATTAAAATGTAAACTGGCACATATTTTTTTTCATTTACACAGAATAGAAATAAACGCACTTAGCTTACTTTATTGAAGCTGATAAAAGATTCTTTGAGCAACAACTCTTTCTTTCGTAGATCCTCCCACTTTTCGTCCATGATCGCTCTGTTTTTCTGCTCTTCTATTCTTTTCAGTGCTAGTTCTTCGTCTGCCTCCATGAGATCGCGGCGAGCTTGCTCCAGTAGCACTTGTGGTGTTGGTCGTGCGACATCCCATACTGGATATTTCCTTAAAACATCAGAATGAATATAATTATTTCAAGAAATGATTTACTATGTTTGTAATAAAAATATCGACATCGTTATAAAATAGCTAAGGTTGATAGAATTGGCTTGTTAAAACCCCATTTTCAATTCTCCTGCCTTTGTCTAAATATTATTTTATTAGGGTTTTGGTCTTTTTTTTCCGTGTGGTGACGGATTAAGAAAACCGAGTGTCACCATCCCTATTCTACATGTGGGTGTCGTAAGAGCCGACTAAGACAGCAAACTCTGCAGGTCAACAGCACAGCAAAGAGAAGGAAAGTATTTCAACCCGACTGGCTAGCATGGTATAGTAGGCCAAACCCCCATTAAAGGCTGTTCATGATGATATGATAATTGGTTAAAATGAGCAATGGGATTGTGCTGGTCTGTCTCTTGAAGAAAATAGATAAATTGTAGTAACAAAAACCGATAAAATGAAGGAGCTGAGCTAGTTCATAGGGTGATAACGGATGGTGACTGTGTTGCCTAGCTCGAATAACCTGGGATTTCGTGAGTACTACCGTACCGCCTACAGTAGAGTCGTTCGTGGTAACTGAGCACAGTGGGTAAGTGTGCGAACTGCCTGTATCACAGAAACGAGATTCGGGGGCAGGGGTGTTTGTTTGTGCCAATTTTAGTCGTGGTCAATGCAAATCAGTTGCGATATGTCATTGTGCCACATCACGCTTCGTTGTTCAATAATTTGCAAAAAAGTATTTTTTTTCGCTTGAATCGTATATTTTTTGTGTTCTGGAAAACAGTTTTACACGCAATATTCATAGCTACCAGTAGGTAAGTCACTATCTTTTAACTGAGAACATATTTCTTTTGCAATTTGTACTCGTAATTTAAGGCAATGTTCAGCGGTTCGGACACAGTGTGCGCGGGTAAGTGAACGCATGCGCACACATGTTCCCGGAGTGCTAAAGTATTTAAATTACATGTATTGTGTATGTTGTGTATTTAACTAAATTATTTTATTTACATTTATTATTCGTTTAATTGTTGAACAGTTTTTTATCACGCACCGAAAATTGAAAAAGCAAATGAACTGCTCCAGCAGCCATTGCATTAAGCGAGTCATGCCTTCGCAAAAACTAAACGTAGCTGCGCCTTCCATGGGTCAGTATTAACCTACGTTTAATCAGAGTCAATAGACAGTGTTTGTAATTCAATGCAAGCAAATGGAATACGCACACTTACCCGCAATACGGGTCAAGTTTACGCAGCCTGACTTTCAGTGATTTTTCTATGATTGACTAAACTGGTGCACTGCTGATAAACACCATTCGAAATAATGCTTTTATTTTCTTAGTCCCTCTGTTCTAGGTAAAAGTGCGCACACTTGACCCGAATGGCTTTACTGCCTCGCCCATGAACAGCTTCAACTCATGACTCACAAGTGCGTTTTGAATATTTGCTCCTTTCCTATTTTTAAGAAATGCAATGTTTTTACTTACTTAACTATACTTGCACTTTCCATCTTAGATTTAAAGTACTCCGCAGTGCATTCCACAGGTGGTCCATGTGGAATCGCTATAGGTGCCAAATCCTTCGTCTTCTTCATGTTTATAGCTTTATAAATCTTATGTTCCGAATGTGTATTAAAATTAAGTTACGTAAAAAAACTAATAAATTGAATACTATCAAAACTACGAGCACTTGAAGATAAACAAGTCGTTGCTTAGCAATGATAAATCCATTGAATCCGTCGCTAACCGTTATAGCTAAGTCGATATTCGTTGCTAGTCATAATCATGTACAAAACAATCCTTTGAAAAAATATCACTTTTATCGGGAATGTGCATTGTAATATTACGTAATTACTTTTTTTTGGTATTGGTTGTGGGCTTCGGTTTCCGCATTTAGACTCAGAGTGGTCCTTTAATTACTTGTTTGCATTGGACCTCACCTGTAACTACCTACACCATTTTGGAGAGATCGTTTTGTATATCGTCAGTGTCAGGTTCAATTAAGTTTAAATAAAAAAGTAAAGCTTCTTCTGCAAATAACATTATTTCGTAATAATCTTTAATAAGTTCTGGTAGTTACCAGAAACTAAAATAGGCCCAGAACTAAACCCTGCGGCACGCTCAGATTGACCATATGTATTCAGGAAGTTCCGTTGGTCCATCCTATCCTATTCCTAAGATAGCATAAATTAATAGGCAGCAAAAAGAAAAAGAGCTAAGATGCACAACCACGATTTCTTCCTATGCCAAATGCGTTTCAATGTTGTGAAAAAACAAAAATGAAAAAAGTTAAGTCAGTTATGCTTTTTTTTTGTTTGTTTGCGGATAATTTCGTTGCTTATGAACCGATTTTGATTATTCTTTTTTTGTTGGAAAGAAGATACTTTAAAGGTGGTCCCATGTTCAGGAAATCAGCGTTTGATGATGCAGCTTTTTAGTTTACTGTTTGAAGTCGTTTTTTTTTTGTTAAAAATCATACTTGTAAAGTGAAATTTTTATTACATCGCTTCAAATTTTTTCGTCCATCTATCGCATGTCGCAATGCAGCCAAAGCCAATATTGGCGGCGCTCGCATCTGCTGACCGTGTAGCATTTATATTCTCATTCATTCGTGCAAGTGCTCTGCGGTATTTGTGTGTTTTATTCAAATCATAGAGCAACACAAACCACCGGCGGACCGGAAAGGAGTAGCCATAGCGTCTTTTCGCGATACAAAATAGTCTGCCATTTTTTTGCGTGGGGGAAAATATCACCGTCTGTTATGATGTTTAAGTATTTATTTCTGAGATTGATTGATTGATTGATGCTATTTCTGAGAGTGCAAAGGAGTTTATGTCTATTTTAAAAGAAATGCACGTTTTTAGGATTGTTTGTTGCATAAATATATTTTTAATATCATTAATGGGAATTTTAAATTCCCGATTATTTTATTTTGTTTCTTACGACTTAGCATTAGCAAGTAATAGCAAATAGTGTTAAGTGACGAATTGACGAAGGCGAACATGTCGCGAATAAACCCTATATTGCATTATTTCCATAATAATGTTGGAGAAAATGAACTAGCCACTTTTGATCGCGAAGATCGCGGTGCGTCAGAATATAATTTAAAAAAAAAAATTCATGTAAAATTAGTACTTAGTGATATACCTACAAGTTATGATCGTATTTCATTTGCTCCCGTACGAAATTGCAATTGCAATTGCAAACAATTAACATGCTAAGACAGGAGGACTTCGCAATTTAGTTGAATTAAATCTAATTAGCATTACAATAATGCCCATTACTAGTACTAGGCCCTTTATCTTGTCAATTGTCATTATCTTGACAAAATGTACAAACCGTAGATTCGAGTATACCACATGTTTTATTAATTAAACATGACACGCGCATTTTGACAGCTACACATTTTGACACTTTCTCGGACTTCCCTGATTTCATATAGGATTAATAAGTGTCGGTGCATTTTAATTTGCGTTTGTGTATAATACAATACTGAATACACTTCCTAGATTTCATACGTCTAAAATAAACCATACTAAATAGAGTATTGAAAAAAAAAATCATTTCATCAAAACAGAAAATGGATTTTAACGTTTCTTTTTTCACCGGGTTAGGTTGTGGTATTTGTATTGGTATTTCTTTATTAGCTTTAAAAAAGTATTTCGGAGTTTTCACTGAAGCTGGGAATGCATTGAAAAAGGTAAATATAACTACTACTAATATTCTTTGTTAACTTTCGTAGTAATTTAAAAATAATTCAAGCACAACCTGGTTTGCAATTAACGTAGGATTCTTTTCTTTCATCACTATAACTATTAACATACATTTAAAACTAGCTTTAAGGTCTTTATTTAACAGACCTCGAAGCTTATTTTAGAAAGGTCTTAAACATACAATTTTATTATACATATACAATTATTTTTGTCATTAAAATTGGTCTCGAAAGGAATGAAAAATAGTGCTTTTTTAAGTTTAATACTATAATGTTATTTATAAATGATGATATATTTAATTTATGTAAGTGATAATGCCTGATGCAATAACTGTTTCATCACATGGAATTATGAATGGATTAAAACCTGACACTTCTGAGCTATGGTCACCACACTTCTTATAAACACTTAATAGCTGTGCTGCCTCTGTGGTGCAATGGTAGCATATGTGACTGCTGTGCTGAGGTCTTGATTCCTGGGTCAGACCAAATGTTTGCATGATCTGCAAATATTTGTTTCGGAGTTTGGGTGTTTTTTATGTATAATAATAATAACCTCACACACACAGCTGTCTGATACCAAACTAGACACAGCCTGTACTATGGTAACCAGTCTAGTTACCATAGTACATTATAGATTATAGCTAGATTGGCTGATAAACATACATATATATTTCTAAATATATTCATATTATAGATAAATCACACCCAGACACAGAACATATATAACTTAAATATTAATATGTTAGAGGGGGCAGTCGAGCAGATGGGTCACCTGATGGAAATTGACCATCGCCGCCCATGAACGGCTGCAACGGGTTTGTGACTCCTGAAGTCACAAACCCGTATAATATGTATGTATGTATACAAAAAAGTATAAAGTATTTTAGCTTTCAATCTAGCTTTCACAAGCTCTGCTTAGTGTGAAACTAGATGGTGTTGTGTTAGATGTTATATATTTCTAAATACATACATATTATAAATAAACTTTATGCAGACACACAACAAATTATTATGTTGCTACAAACAAGCGTACCTTATCATTATAATTTGATAATTTTTAATTTCAACTATATCACATAACATGTTAAATTTACTGTGACAATGTTAATGTTTGCATATATCTGACAACACATTATTCCTTTTTTACAGTTCTCATCAAAGCAAGAATATAAATTAGTATTAGTAGTCAGAACAGACCTCAACATGGGCAAGGGTAAAATTGCAGCTCAGTGTAGTCATGCCGCTGTTGGGGCATTTGAAAAAGCCCAGAAATCAGACCCTGAAGGTTTACAGAAATGGCAGTACACTGGACAGGCAAAAGTTGCACTCAAGACTGACTCTTTAGAGGAAATTAAACAAATTAAGGATAATGCAAAGAAAATGGGTCTTATAACATCCTTGATTAGAGACGCTGGCAGAACACAGATTGCTCCTAACTCTATTACTGTGCTTGGTATTGGGCCGGCACCCAAAGATGTGATCGATAAAGTGACTGGACATTTGAAATTGTTGTGAGATTATATTATCAAGTTAAATTATAAGTTATAAGGAGTACAGGAGTTTTTTTGCTTGAGTAAAATGTTAAATTAAAATTATCTTTTTATGAAATTATCTTTATTCAATGCTAACACTTATATAGTAATTTTAAAAGATTTTGAATATTGATAGCTAAAGACTAAAATAATTCATTTTCTGTACCTGTAAGGTATATTGATGACTAGCTGGTACCCTCGACTTCGTTCGCGTGGAATTTGTAAAGCGCTGCTATAGGTGGTTCAATTCCCAGACCGGGCAAAATTTTATAGGGTTTTTAAACTGGTTAGCATGAAAAAACCTATTATTTTGACATTACATATAGATACTTCAATCTTATTTATTTGTATAGAGTAGACTAGCTGACCCGTGCAACTTCTTCTGTCTTTCAAAAGGAATATTTATTCCTTTGCCTTATGCCCCATTTTCGCATTGCTCCTATTGGTTTTAGCGTGATGTTACATAGTCTTCCTCAATGAAGGGGCTATGTAATACTAACATTTTTCAATTTGAACCACTAGTTCCTGAGATTGAGCATATGTATACTACACGTAAAAAATTTCATAAGCCACTCAAGAGACCTATTTCTTAGCGTTCCATGGATTGGAACCGTCCGTTCCGTGCGGGTGCCAGGTCCATCGCGTGATAGACGGGGGCAACACATGCGACTTTGACAGCGCCTGGGACTTCCAAATATCAGAACCGCTCGCCAAATATTAGAACGTCACTGGTTCAAAAGCTATAAGCGTTTATACGCTTGTATGTCAAAAACTAGGGCACCTAACGAAGAGGGAGAAAACCTCCCAAATTTAGTCGCTAATAGGCGAAATTTGTCACCGACTTGGGCGGGTAAAAGGTATTTAAGATATTAAAGCCTAAATATCCTAAAAGCCTATTATATTACAATAATCATAACTAATTTAGTCAAATATAAACTTAGTGGTTCAAATCGGGGAGGGAATTTTGAAAAAAAAAACCTTGTATTTTTCATAGATTTATTTTCTCTTATAAAAATGTATTATCATAAAGATTAGGCGGATAATTTAAAACATAAAGAACACGTTGCAGTGAAAACATGTTCAAAATGTTTGAAATTAAAATAATTCATAAAAATAAACATCTTATCGTAATTAAATCAAAGTAACATTATCAACACAACATTTTTCATATCAAAGAGAAATGGATGGATACCACATAAAAATATTACAAAACATTATTATTAGAGCACCATGTTGATTGTACGGAATAATTCTTTCATCAATAATATTTTAAAAAAACTTAAAATTACAAGTATTCCGTAATTGCTTTAAGATATATATGAACCCTAGAACCCTTGGCCCCCACTGTCATGTGGGTTGGTCTTGTCCCCTCATATGGAGACAGTCAAGACTTCGCCTGCTCGTGGGTTGGGCGACACCGCGCGGAATCTCACGCACTCCCTGTTCAGACCATGAACACAACCAGGGTCTTTAGGTAATGGCTTCTCACACCTATCGTTTGTGGATAGATGTTAGCCAATATAAACTATACTTACAGTTAAAAAATTACAACTACTGTTCTCTTTTTAGAATATTTTTTCTTATTAATAACGAATCTTGTTAATAATGCACACAATAAAATTTTAAAAATACAATTATGTTGTACAACATTTTATATATTTTTTAATACAGATAATTTTGTAATTTTTATATGTGGTAACAATGCTGTCGTCTCTGGCAATCCTTACTCTTAAAGCTAATGCAATAGGCAAACAATGATCGGCTATTAATTTTCTGGTGGGTTTACTATGAGTAACGTATATTGACACATAAAAATCTTCTGATTAAAATTTTCAAAATCTGGTTTTTAAATATGGTAATTTTAAAGGAAAATTTTCTGAACTAATACAAGAACTGTGTTATTGAACAAACTTAAATTATTGTCCATTTTTTAAATGGGGGCTTGATGCTTTTAAAATATGATGCGACCAATAGCGATTTTATGACTTAAGACTAATAAACTTTTATTGATAACTCTATGAACATCAATATAGGTTAATTCGTTGTGGCAGTGTTGTGCCGGCACTTAATAGGTACAGTCCAAGCGAAGAAGAGCTAGTCAACGCCTAAAAATAAAATAAACAAGCTTTGTTTCACTAAAAGAAAATAAGTACAGGCGTCACAGTTAAACCAAGCTTCTTTCGCTTAGTCGGTCAGCGTACGTACAATTACAACAAAGCACCACAACTCCGTAGTCCTACGACTCTTGGTGGAAACAGTAGACTTCATCAACAAACCTTAATAATCCACTGCCAGACATAAGCACAGGTCTATGTCCAGCAGTGGACTCTTGAGTGAACTGAACCGTCTTTCTAAGGAGAGGCTTAGAAAGGAGGTTTTAACAGTAATACATTTACGTAACATTGTCTACCGTATTTAAGTACACATTTAAGCTAGTGACAGAGAGGGATTTATTTAAGCAATTTTACTTAATTACTTACTTAGTACTAAAGACAAGTAATTATAACAATCATATAAATGTTGAAACCTATTTAAGCACAGCCCATAATGTGTAACATCTCACCTACTATCGACACCACGCGTCCACAAAAAGCGCGGGCTTCTCTGACTTTCTGTTACACATTTCCGTCCCCGTCCTCAAGCGAAAGGTATGATGTTACACATCGAAAAATATTTTAATTTTGATAATTAAGAACTGTGTATTATGATTATTTTGGTTTTTGGAAGCAATCAAAAGTAGATAAGTTACTTAGAGAGAATATTTTATTCCTTTGGAATTATACAATTCACTAGTGTAGCGTATGGCCGCAATGGAAGCAATTTAATTATAATCAGTCTTTCGTCGAATAAGGCACGGACAGATATTGTATATAAATATACCACTGGTGGGTAAGACAACGGGTCTAAGTAGAGATGTGCCGACTAGTCAGTAAAGTCGACTATCCGGCTTCTTACTTTGTGTGTTTTTGTCGATTGGTCATAAAAAAATCATTTTCGAGACTTTCTTTCTGTCATGATTAAATTTTTATAGAGCTCTATCAGTTTAATTAATAATAACAGTATTTGTTTGATTGGCTTGGTCGACTAGTCGGCCTTTTTACAACCGGTCATGGTCGGCACATCTCTAATTGTAAGTACAAATTTCTTTTATTTCAATATCCTGAAAGGTGGGATTATTATTTATTTTAGTCGTTTTCTATTTATTTACTGGCAAATATAAAATATTGTGGCGACGAATTTATTACAAAGTAAGGTACGAACAAATCCCTACGTAAGTATTTAAAATTATGTACAAAATTGTCATTTTGTTTTCATAATTAGGTACCTTATTTTCAAATATTTAGTTTTCTGATATAACTAAGACTTAATAGTCAAGTCTTTGCTAAAGAGATGGTTTAGAAATCTGCCGTTTTTTTAATGAACATGTATTAAGTTTTGACGGCAATATTTTTAACATCAGATCAGTTTAAAACTTTAGAATAATTTCCTCTTTTAACCAACGACTTTTCACAATTAGGTACGTTTCATACGTACAACATACAAAAATAACATTATTTTAGTAACCTTAACTCCAACTGTACGGCTGTCGAGCAATCGATTGCAACGCCAGGGGTCACAGGTTGCACCAGGGACTTCCTTTCTAGGGTATACCTGGTTCAACGGCTGTTAGTACCCGAGACGGCGTGCGGTTTTAGTCGGTTCGAGTCCGACATGCCACCGACAGGTGGTATCAGAGGGGATTTCCGCACGGAAAAAAAAAGGGGTCACAGGTTCGTTTCCATTTATATATGTATTTACCTAGAAATGCCCTAAGTCCGTTTTTTTCTTACTTTATTATGGTACATGATAATTATACTACCTTGAAAAAAGTTTTTAAAGATAATAGGGTAGAAAAATTTTTTCACCTGAATTTTTCTCTATTATGAACTTAATGTTTGTATTATTTATATTTTTGAATCGACATTAAATATAACTAATTTTAACTAAGACTATTTTAACTAAGACAAAAAGGCGTCTATCGTTTTGACGTCTAATAAAAAGATACTGATACTGAATTGACTTAACAGTCATACTTGACCCCATTACATAGTCATATGTTTTTGTAAGCACATTGATGTCACACAAGATTCGAACCTGCAACTAGATGATCTCAATACGACGCTTTAACCAAAACACTACAAGATTACATAATTAACAAGAAAACTTGACTGGTGTCAAATACTGAACAACTATAAAATTACTGAGTATGGATAAAGACGATTTACTGTGGCCGTTTTGGAGTTGAAATTAGCCTTTTGACTGGTATTAAATTAAGTAGTATATTTAAAACTAATACTTGATTACCCTAAAACATTGAGACAAGAACATTCTAGAACAGTGACTGTCTAAATACTTTTTCTTAAAAACTATATAAAAAATGCAAAAAGTGTACTTTGATGTGGTATGCATACAACACAATATTTGGAGAGAGAGATGCACTATCATTTTTTTATCTTATCTTGGATAAAATATCATCATCATCAACAGCCTTTAACAGTCCTCCGCTGGATATAGGCCTCTCCTTAGAAAGGAGGTTTTGGCCTACTATACCACGCTGGCCAGACGTATTGGTATAGGGTTTGTGTCAAGTTTTCCTTCTCATTGCAGTATTGTTGTCCGTAGTTTGCTCCCTTAGTCTTACGACACCCATGATGTTATGGGGTTGGTGACAATCCGTATTCTTAATCCGTCACAGTTGATAAAATAAGAGTAACAGAAAAAGAATGTCGAATTACAACTACTTCGTCTAATCAACTATTAACGCTAGTATTTTCCTCAAACTTAACGCGTTATAAAACTTATCAGCGCCGCACCGTTCTCAATACAGACTTACTAATATAAAAATAACACATTATTTGTATTGAATTATTATTCAATCTTAATTATTAATTACCTTAATTAAAAATAAGCAAACCCCCTCATAATTACTTACGTAATAGTTAAATGACTTGTAAAGGCCTGTATCGATAAGGCAACTTCACATCATCCGAGTTGAGATGGGTGGCATAATGACCAGTTACACAAACATGTTACGCATAACTGCAGCGCTTACTCAATAGAAGCCCTTACTGTATTTAGTACAAGGTAGTGTCATCTAGTGTAGATCTACTCTCCAGAAATGGAGTATGGCAGGGACTTAAAAGTACCACAGCTACGGCCATAAAAATTAATATATATCCATAGATCATTCTATGATATACCTTATATGTACTTATATTTGACTCGATTTGCTCCCTTTCATAACATTTAACTGATTTAGGTCTTCAGCCACTCTATTTAAGGACGACGTTGACTTGTGATATTCATATCACAAGTCACCGGGTATTCTATTCTCCTTTATGTAACAAGAAGGTGGCTTTATAAGAAAACTGTCTTTTCTTTCTATTCCTAAGAGTGAGAGACTGCTTATTGCAGATGTCATTCTTTAACTTTTTCTTTTTTCGGTTTTATTATCCTTTCAATAGTTATACCAGACGTCAGGGTAAAGCATGGAGCAAATCAAGTATTTAATAACCCTCATTAAAATTGACATATTTTAATATTGATCTGTGCATATATCTTATAAAATAAAAACTAAATTAAAAAATAACATGTCATTTTAAAATCTAAATTAATAGTCACCTATCTCTATTGTGGAACTGTTCCGTTCTCCAAGGTGCTTAAAAATGTTCGCAACTGCGCAATGCTGGTTGCGTACTTCTCTACCACCTCTGGATCGTGTTGTCCAGCGATTTTCATCGCGTCGATCATCGTTCGAAGACCTGATGCCATGGCGTTCACTTCTACTGTAATCTATTGAAATAAGAAATAAGATTGTGGGATGCATTCTACAAATATTTTACAATATTCTATCAAGAATTTTCTGCTCATTGCAATAAGTTTCGTCTGATTTCCTTGTTTAACCAAATCCGCCTTCAAACATAACTTGGGGTAATAAATATCGCAAATTTTGGTTGCGAAACGGAACTGAGACTAGCTTAAATGATTATTTTAAATATATAAATAATAACTAGTGAAGACCGTATAAGAAATATGTTAGCTAAACTAATACATTTTTTGCTTAATTGATAGTTAATAGACCCAAACTCTAAATGTAGCATGTACAGAGTTTTTGTTTAAATACAACACTTTGCTAATGTATCTTTAGTAACATGTGGTCTATAAAAAGATAGACAAAGTAACAAATTTTGTTTCTTATGCGACTCGCCCCAATACTCAGTTTGGCGCACAGGCGAGGCGACCGTTTCAACCCTTCTCTAATGACGACTACAGTTAAAGTATTTTCACAGTACAAGCTCTGCTTGAAACTAGATGGCGTTGTGTGTCAATATCCGAAATTATTATTATTACACTTAATTAATGGAATGTCAGCAACTTACATTCGGCAGCATAGCCATATGGTGTTCAACATCTCGCGTCTCAACTTTAATTTTCTTGGTCACCCTCTGAACGATTTGGTTTGATGGAATCCGTTTCTTTCCAGTTTTGAATAGGCCCTCGGATTCTTCATCTTTATGCAAGTCCCGGCGAAGGCACGCGCACACCTTCGCTCCTACAGTCTGACGTCCATAGACATGGCCACTGTTGAATAATTAACAGTGACTTGAGACAAAGCATACGCAGTTATGTGATCCTTAACTAGTGTACTATGGGGTCCATATATAGTCACATAAAAATCCTATACCTAATTTTTGTTTAAATACCAATTTGTGTACATAATAATCACTCTTCATAATTTTTTCAATCATACCTTTTTTGTTCATGAATTTTTATTACTACCAACGGAACTAATAACAGACTAATACATTACTTAATAACAATAATAAATAAATTAAATTTTAATCTGCAACCATTTAAAGTACATAGAATATACTCACTTCACATCCTCTAGTGTGAAAATAATAGCAATGGGTCTTCTATTAATGCCGGATGGGCAGGAACTCTTGCAGGTGAACTTGTATGCATGGGTGCAGGGTTCCTCGTTCGTTTTGTTGTGATAGACAACGACAGAGAACCAGGAATCACGTACATTGGCGTCTCCACAGTAATATACGCCTTGAGTGCCAACATCACGAGCCGAATGTAACACATTCTTGCTTATATGTCCAGGTAATCCTGGAAAGAATTATTTTTTTAATTTAATTTGCTTAAATTAGGTAATAACTGGGTAACCTCCTTTCTAAGGAGAGGCTTATATCCAGCAGTGGACTATTAAAGCTGTTGATGAAGGTAATTAAAGGTGGTAAATACATAAACATCACAAATACACTAAAATAAAAAATTAAGTAACTTAAATTACAAATTAAAACAAATAATTAAATACACTATGCTCATATAGGAAATGTAAACCAGTTTAAGACTAAATTGAGAAAGAGAAAGAGGGACCTTGTCAAACGACTACGGAATGCCAAGTTACAGGCAATATCCACCTGAACCACGGTAACGGTAGTCGACTAAAGGGAAGATTAGAGATTGACGAGCGCTGTCCTAGATTTCACGGGATGAAAGTTTTTCAGGCGATAAAATGTTTAGAGAATGCCGGTAACCCTCTACCATACGTATGTAACTTGATCGCGCCAGTTCAGGCTTACAACTGACTACTGAACGTATGAGTGGTACCATTGAAAATTATTTTGATGAGCGTTGAAAAAGTGACTTTGTACATCGTACGCTGACTGCCGATTATTATAATATTACTATTGTTCGCAGAATATTCTCAAACCAATATTTCTTTCTAATCTACCATACTAAACTATCATACTCATAGTATATTTACGCTATTGAACAGACACGCGGACAACACCAGCCCAAAACCAGCTCTAGGTACATTTGGACTAGCATTATGATGAGTTGTTGTCTATATTGGTACAGATATAATTTATACATGTAAAATGAGCCAATTAAGTTTTTTCTTTCTCCTTTCTTTCTTACCAGGCAGCTGCTTATATAATGAGTAACTTAGGCTATTCTTCCTCTCAGAAAAACCCTATAAAGTTTTGCCCGGCCTGGGAATCGGACCCGAGGCCTGATGGACTGCAGTCGCACACCGTACTACACCACTAAGGTAAATGCCACACGAACGAAGTGGTCATTAATAAAAATATAATCAAACTTTTATCAAAGCACTATTTTATACAAGTAACATTATCCTTTGGAGAGGATGAGCGACTCAAGAAGTGAGCAAAACTGCTTGTGGAAATATAAACATTTACATTCTTATTAGGGCTTTTATAGTTCGAGTTTGAAATTGGGTCTGGGTGTTCTTTGTGTCCGTTTCATGTATGTTTGTAAAGTCCCCCGCGACACAGGATATATTCCTAATGCGGGAGTTGTCCTTTTTTTAAGATAAGATAAGATAAATACTTACCAGAACTCTCGTGTAAGTGCTGTAGACAACGTTCCACACGTTTCTCCGACTGTTCGGCCTCGGAGAACACGACAGTGGAACGAATAAACATGTGTGCCGGAACATGATTATTATCCCAGTTGAAGGAGAGACTAAAATTGCAGTTCACGTCCACATAGATGCGGTTGAGTTTGTAGGAATACTGAAAAAAGCAGTTAGTAGAACTCACTTAAAGATTCGTCATTTTACACAAGCAAAAGTAAGATTTTAAATAAAATGCAGTTGCTGGCGATCGTTTGGAATCGTAGTCGACGAATTCGCTTAGGAGTCTGCAACTCCCTGTAATCGTCGTTTGGAATCATGCAGTCCATGGCCCTATAGGAAGTCTCTATTGAGTCATGAGGACAGACCTCTTGGGACCTGTTGGCCAAGCCTTGCCGTGTTATAAGAATGGTCCTCTAGCCAACATCTCTAGCAATTTAACTTTTCTTTAAACAAAAGACAACTGAAGGCCGATTCTCGTAATAAAATGTTGGTCACATTATTAGGTATTTTCTTAGTAGAATAGTAAAGTATTATTAACACTAGCAGATTACCGATTCAATTTTCGGTTACAATACGATATAATCACATTACAATCAAGGTTAGATGTTTTATACTTTATTACGAAAATACCTTTAATAACAGTTGTGAGATCAAGATTTGATCGGAACTGAATTGTAACCGAACTTTTATTACAAGAATTGGCCTTCTGGAGTATATCCTGTTTCGAAAGTGACTTTACAAACATTCTTTCACACTTACAACAAAGAAACCCCGACTCAGAACAACAATTTGTGAGTCACGCAAAGTGTTGTTCCATGTGGGGATCGAACCAAGAACATTCAGGGCAGTAGGAAGGCGAGATGACCGCTTAAACCGCTACGCCATCCGTGCAGGCTCGCTGGGAATAAGATCGTCTCCGACTGACGAACTTGTGTGTTGTCTGTGTGTCATCATGATGAGACTGCGCGAAGACGCTCCACTCGGCACTCCACGTTGTAGTGGAGTGTCTAGTGTAGGCACAACAGCGGCGACCTGCCGACGACTATTAACGTGACCATGGTCCTAAGAGCCGTAAGCCGGTGTCGTAAGAGCCGACCAAGGGAAAAAACTACGCAGAACAACACTGCAGAGAGAAGGAAATCTTGACACAGACCCTATACCAACCCGTCTGGCCAGCGGCCAGCTTATGTCCAGCAGTGGACTATTAAAGGATGTGATGGTCCTAAGCGTATGTGCTTAGGATTGTGCCGTATCGTTTTGTGAAGAAGTGATGTCCTCTAAAGAGTAAGAGTAAAGGTAACAGGAGATACTACTAGTACACTGCCGTTAGGAAGAAGAAACACCAGGCGACGGAGAGATGTATGCTCAAACAGAACCGTGACGCTACGTCTTTACCTCACCATATACGCTATAAGCGGGTCCACATAGAGCGATCAGCCTCACGAGGCATTTGTATTTGTTTAGTTGAGGGTTAATCATGGCACCACACGTACGTGTTGCGGCGACAGCTGTTGCTTTCATCCTTTATAAATAAGATTAGAAGACAATATTGGGTCCAGACATAAATAGATTAATAATGAAAACGAACTGTACCAAGACTTGATTGGTACAGTTTAAAAAAATGCAGTAACGCTTTCTTATTTCAAAACAAAGATTGATGTGCTCGAGCAAGGCATGAAACAAAACACGCGCGCGTCCAGATTGCGCGCCAAATTGTCATTTGTTTTTTAAATAATAATAATAAATCTTTATTCAGGTAATTTTACAAGTCATAGTCATAGTTTGACGACTGGATGGCGTAGTGGTTTGTGCAACGGACTGCTATTCCAAAGGTCGCGGGTTCGATTCCCGCTCAAGTCAAACATTTGTGTGCATGAACATTTGATGTTTGATTTGGTCTGGGTGTTTCTATGTATAATATGTATGTATTTACAAAAAAAAAAGTATATATGTATTTATATCAGTTGTCTAGTACCCATAGTACAAGCTCTGCTTAGTTTGGGACTAGATGGCGTTGTGTGTATGTGGTAGAATATATTATTATTATTATTATTATTATAGTTGTAGAATAGTGTCGGATCTGACATTAACTCAACTTTACAGGGCAGCCATTTCAAATAAATATGTTAATTTTTTGAAACTTTTTAATTCGGAACGTGTAATTATGAAAATTGGCATACAAATGAAAAATAGTGTTTATTTTAAACAATAAAAATAACAACTAATAATTACACAATTTTCTAGAAAAAAATCACATGCTTCATTTTACTTTGAACGCCTATCAAATCCGTCAGTTTACAGACTGAATCATTTAATATCTAAAATACATATAATTTTCCCGATGTAGTAATAATATTAGACAATGCAGTATCCAAATATGGTAAAAACTGTATTTCGTTTTTTTTTAAACCGACATTATTCAACGAACATGATTGAGGCGCTTTTGAAAAAGTCGACACTAGCGAGCTTGCCTCAGCCGAGGCACGTCCACACAGACTGATCAGTTTCGCGAGGCTGCTTGCTGTATTGGTTGTTGTTGTTTATTTTCTAATAAGTACATTAGTACAATATGACTTACCAAAAACTTCTTCTTTTGAACATCAGAACTGTTGACCACAACATGAAAATTTGCTTTATCGGTGAAATTGTTACTGTTAGGCGGGCCACGTTTAGTCTCCTGAATAAAGATATATTAGATTTATGAATTTATCACTTGGCTACTTTATGCACACTATGCTATAGATAGTTCAACTCAGTTGTGCGCGCGGCCCTATGTGTGCGTGGGCTTGTAAATATACAACTTTCATTCGTGTGGCAGTGACGCGGCAGTCGGACGACGCACAGTCCGCGCGCGCGTAGGGCCGCGCGCACAACTGAGTTGAACTATCTTTAGTGTTCTTGTTAACCCCAAATAAACTACCATCATTGATATTGTACTAAATGGGGTTCGATTCGAAACATCTCGATAGCAAGTCTCTCAATTTAACCATTAGGTTACTACTACTTGTATTTACATGTTGACTTTTACGACATGAAAATGTCATAGCCAAGGTTATGGTGATAAAATAAATAAGTTTACAATTTGCTTTCTGTCATTTTCAAAATCAATTGATGAGTATTTTGCAGTTCACTGCTGGACATAGAAATCTCCTAACATTAACAAGGGCCTCCTTTTTTTTATTTCTATGCCGAAATCCTCTCGGATACCACCCACCGGTGTATGGTATGTCGGACTCGAACCGACTAAAAACTGGACGGTACCAGTAGCCAGGGAACCAGGTGTACCCTAGAAGGGAAATCCTTAGTGCACAACGTACCACGGGCCATCTACGGCGGGTAGATGACCCCCTCCTGCAACAATATTGCATCTACTCTACCCATTAGAATTAATAACTTTATAAAATAACTAACTGGTACCCATGGAATTTGTGGGTTCCTGGGTTCGATTCCTGGAGCGGGCATAACTTTAAAGGGTTTTTTGAGGATAAATAGCCTAAGTTACGCCTTATATAGACAACAAGTGTAAGTAAAGTAAAATATTATCAAAATTGGTCGTACCGTTTAGATGATCACCCGGAACAAACAGCCAAAAATCATTCAAACTGGTTTTTAGGCATAGGTATCGTGCAAATAACCGTGTGAGCATGAAAAGAGGCCATTATTTTGACATTTCATATACACTTCAATTTTTTTTTATTTGTATAGATGATCAGAGCTGTCTGACAGCAATACTGGTTTATAATAAAATAATATATAAATATCTCACCCCTGTATATCTTGACAAATCATTGTTGTTATCATTTACTTCAACTTTTAGTGTTACTTCTTCAGAATTGACAGTTGTGTAATCTAATCCATCTCTTGTTATTTCTTCTAAATTCAAATCCGGACAGCCAAGGTTATGATCGCAACTTTCATCATTCACTCCATTTATTAGCATTTCTGTTAAGTAATCATCTGGAAGACTAAATATGGAATTATAATTATCGATACTGAAGAAAAAGTAATCCACTGCTACTGCCCCACAGAATTAAGTTTCATCATTGTCATCAACAGCTTTTAGTAGTCCTCTGGCTGGTCATAGGCCTCTCCTTAGAGAGGAGGTTTTGCTGGCCAGATGGGTTTGTTTAAAGTTTTCCTTCTCTTTGCAGAGCTGTTGTCCAGCCTAATTTGCTCCCTAAGTCAGCTCTAACAACACCCACAAGATGAAGAGGTGATGACACTCCATACTCTTAATTCGTCACCACACGGATAGAATTAAGTTTAGTTAGTAAGAATTAATTTTAATGTTAACACCTAACTTCTCTCCAACCCTAGCAATTTATTTATTTATCACTTCATGCAAAAGCATATACATCGGTGGACTAAATGGTCATGGCATGGTCTGCCAGTCGACCGACTGGGTGATGCAGAAAAAGAATGAGGTAGCTGCACTTATAATTTAAGTGCCAAAAATTTCAAATGAAAGAGATTGTTACAGCAACAAAACACTGCCCTGAGCCTGTACAGACTCTACCTAATTTAGGCTCATAGTACTATGATAATCAGACTGCTAATAAACATACTTATATATTTCTAAATACATACATATTATAGATAAGTGATAACCAGATACGGAACAAATAATTGCGCTTGTCACACAACTTTGTCCGGATTGGGAATCAAACCCAAAACCAGCAGCAACAAGCCAGTCTAATGTCACAACAGTAACTTAACCCTGTAATAAATTGTGATAGCTTGTAGACCTATACATCTTACAATACAGTACTGAAGATAGGAATTAGTAATTTAGGAAATAGAACTTACGCAGCTTCCCATATGCTTTCTGAATTGATTGCCTCCATTTTGATTGTGCAGATTGCACTAGGAAACTGTAAAAGAAGATACTTTAAGAGTCTTATTTAGTGCTGCTAATAATAAAAGTATGTTTTTAATTTCACAATGGGGTAGATAACTGTCAAGTCAACAGTGGATTGGATGAATGTCAACACGATACGAAATAGTAAATATTTTCTCCCTTGCATCGATAAGTCTTCATAACTAATAGGTTTTGTATAAAGAAAAAAAAGCCTGGTTCGAAACCGGTTTCATACAAAGATCATTTTTTCCTCCTCAACTAGCCATGACATCGGTTTCGATGGTGGCCGAAGGGCTGTATTATTATTATTATAAAGCTCAAGAGTTAGTATGTTTGGTGGAACGCGAATCTTATTAACTACTGGTTATAGGAATTGAAAAACTGTTTTAGCATTAAATAGCCCGTTGATTGAGGAAGGCTATAGTCTATATTGTAATATCATTCTACAACTGACAGCAGCAGAACATCAATGAAAAATGTTACAAAAACGGAAAATTTATTCCTTTTAACTCTTAGGACGTCGCGGTGCGCGGATGACCCGTTACTGTCGCGCCCTTGAACTAGTGACCCAGTCACAGCTGAGCGAAGTCATTATTACCTCAATATCTACGTTATTTTATAATTATATTCAATGAAATAAACATATTTGGAATCCCTGATATATATTCTTCTAAATGTTGTGACAGACGCTACCGCGTAAAAATTTCGTGTCACAACTGTTGTGACGGGGACGCGTCGGAGGTTAAGGGACACAGATGAAGTTGCATGGGTCAGATAGTGCAAAACTGCATGGATGGCATAGTCGTTCAAGAGTGGAGCATAGTGGAGTGTTGTGGGTCCAATCCCCATATTGGACAACACTGTGTGATCCATAAATTATTGTTCTGAGTCTGGGTGTTCTTTGTGTCCGTTTATTGTATTTTTATTTCAAAATGAAATGGTTAGCTGAAAAAGTACTATACTCACTACCATAGCACTTTTGCTGACAAAATCTGGAATAACGCAAACAAGTAACGTAACTTATAAATTGTATAATTTGTAGTATATCGTTTTAGAAAGTAAGTTTTTTAAATAATTATTAATTTAATCATACGATTTTCAGTTATCTGTATAACACTACAGTACACCAAACTCGTCTAATGAAATCAAAATGACAGTGACGAAATAATAAAAAATAATCATTTAAGTAATGGCTATCAGTATATTATTAGAAATGCAGCGAAAATACATTATGGTATGTAATTATTCACATAAAACATGCACGATGTTTATTTAAACGAACATTCCCATCTCAGAAAAATCATTCAAGTTCAGCCTTTCTAAATACTTAAGACACTTAAAGTTAAGCTCTTATTTTATGAGTTGATTTAACTGTGATTTAAATAACAAGAAACCAAAACTTGCCAATGAATTGTTTCATACTATTTATGAAGAAATACACACTGTATTTGCACCTTATCGTGAACCGTCACAACACAAAATCAACACTGTGTTTTTCTGCTTTTACATATTATATTTTAGCATAGTTATAAAAAAGCAGAACATATTAACGGTGTTATGATTGATAAATTCGTTCTTTAAATCAGTTAAGTTCATAACGTACCTTAACTAAACCAAAATACCAAAATGGCTCGGCACGCAGCCACCAAAATTTGACCAAACAAACAGCAAGGAAACACAATGAATGAAAAACACACACAGTATACACAGTGTGGCCAATGGTTAAATGAACTATCCGCCAAATTCAACATCTAAAAGCACCAATGAAAAAGAACCCTACTAAAAAAATTGTAGAATAAGGCACTAAATATTCCAGTTTTTTTTTTGTAATTACGAATGAAAACCATAAGTATATTAATAACTAGTTTCCTTTATTTAAAATTAAAACTGATACTAAACGTTTTTGTCAGCACAATCATCGACGTATCCTGATTAATACGATTCTTTAGTACCGATTTGTTTTAGAACATTTATTTTATTGTATTGTTATATTATATTGTAACACATTCACACAACGCCATCCAGTCCCAAACTAAGCAGAGCTTGTACTATGGGTACTAGACAACTGATATTAATACATAAATACTTTATTTTGTAAATACTTACATATTATACATAGACACACCCAGACCAAATGAGCCAGATGAATGAATGACTTGAGCAGGAATCGAACCTGATGATGAAAGATTCTGTTTATACCTATAGTCTCTCAACTCAACATCGGCATTGAAATAAAGCAGTATTAAGCGAGTAATACTAAAGGTCGCTAATTCCTCAAATGTCAAAGTCCCTACCCCCTTTTTTTTCCGGTACGGAAAGACCCCCTCCCTCCCCACCGGTGGGCTATTGGACTCTAACCGTCCAAAAACCGCATGCCGTTTCGGGTACCAGTAACCGGGGAAAAAGGTGTCTCCTAGAAATGAAATCCCTAATACCCCGACGTACCTCAGGCAGTCTATGGCGTTCATATTCCTTTTGTGCTACCGAAAAGGCACGCGCGCTCCATAGCGCATTTTGACGGCCATGGCGGCAATCATATTTCCCTTGACCTCTTGGACATCTTTAAAGAGCAACACCAAATAACAGCGGACCGAGTTTTATTGGTTTGAATGATATCAATCTTCATTTCTCCTCTACTACTCAACTGAATCATTAAACATAGAGTTGGACCCTGACTTATATCGTTAGTCTGCCTAAACTTGTGAAGGGAGTACATATCTTCCTACAACTTATCTATGGCTGTCGTTACTATAGTTACATTTGACTGTTTAGAAGTTACTCAACTGTTTTTTCCTTGCATACATACATTGCCTACGTTCCTTGCATACGTATTCTATTACATTACTGTATTTTAACTACAATAAACCCTTTCTAACTGCTTTAACCAAGTTGTTATATTATTGCCTTGTCTATATATAAAAGTGGTTCCACATTATAAAAGTTAACAAGACTTAATATTTTCTGAGGACATCAAAAAGATCATACTATCTGTCTGTTGTAACGCAATGGTTTCCAAGCCGTAGGAAGATAGTTACCATCCTGAATTACGTCCTTGAATACAACTTCAAGGACGTAGTTCAGGATGGTAACTATCCACATTATTGACTTGTTTCTCGACTCCGAATCCTCTCTCTGGCATAAATCCTACATCATCCCATTGCCTAAAATTAATAATCCTTCTCTTCCTGAACACTTCTATCCAATCCCTATTATTTCTTTCCTGTCAAAGAGTTCTTGAGGTTTGCGTACACAAACAGTACTCAAAGTTCATCTTTCAACAGCATTTCCTAAGTCCTCTTCAATCTTACTATTACTACCAAACCACTAGAAAAATCCGCTATCCATTAAAAGCAATATTTCGCCACGTTCAGAGGGGTTGAAACCACCAGTTTTAGTGGCGCATCTACTGGGCTGACAATACTGCATCACACCACAGATAACTATATACTAGAAACACACAATCAAAGACTAAAGTAAATTAATACGGGAAGCGGGAAAGATTTTGCAACTAGTGATGGGCGATTTAGAGATTTGATTAGTTTGATTAGTTAAACAATTCAACTATTCATGATAGTGTTCGCTCGTCTTCTATAGTGTCGAGTCACTCACACGAGCTCGGTTACTTGCTTGAGTTGCTCTTGAAGCAATGACATATTCAATCACTAAGAATTTACAAACTCTTCGCGTCCACTAGATTCATTTGTTTGCTTACTAATAGTTAATCGTGACTATCAGTCGAGTCAACATTCAAATTATGGTACGTGGAATATCTACTTTGTTTTATCTGTGCTTTTGAAATATATACCTACATAGTCAACCCTGCACACTGGTGGATTTAATTTGAAGTCTGAATTTTTGAGTTTGAAAAAATACAGATTTCACTTAAAACCTAGGGCTTTAATGTTTTAAGAAGGTGTATATTTAATTTAAAACTCTAGTTTAAAACTAGTCAAACTTCTTTACTTTTGCCATTAACTCACTAACTGATCATCAAATAGCTCTCACAGTTTTTGTTTAGCCTAAGGAGTATGGAATAACTTACTTACTGCTATTTCAGTTCCACTTTTCTGAATATACAATTTAGGTAAATAACTTAGTAATTCTATATAATAAATAATGGTATCAAAAAACAACGATGTTTTTATAGTTTAATTTTTTAATCATCATTGACACTTTCTAAATTATTCTTCGATACCATAAAAAACCTACAGACAGGAAATTTAACGGAGAATGTAGGTAAGAATAGAGTTTTTAAGCAAACTAAGTACATAGATACCTATCTACGAATTAAATCCAAGTTCTGCAGGCAAGTTGACTAAAACTTCTTTCAAACAGTTTTGAAAGTAGTTTTTTTTATTTATTTAAAGAAAAAAAATAGGAATATGTGTTTGTTAAACTGTGAAAGATTTCATGTAAAATAATCAAATCTATTCGTATTCCCTTAAAACAAAATACCTTCAAATATTTCCAGGCTAATGAGCATCTGGGGATTTCGTATAAATAACATTTCTACATTTATTGAATAACCTGTGCGCTAAAGTTGCCATCAAAAAAAGTATGAAAGAATGAGAAAAAAAATGCACGAACTCCGCTTCACTTGTGTTTTTTTTCTAATTTTACTGTCATTAGGCCGATAATTTGATGCATATTTTGTATGCAACAGTTATTTTGACTTGTTATAATATCTTATTATGTACCAAATCATCGCAGGGAATGCCCTAAGTGCGTCTATTAACTAAAATCAATAACAATCATTGACCAACAAAGGTACGCTTGTGTTTGCTTTTGCTGAACATATAACCTGTGTTTTGTGCTAGCGTCCGGTTGGCGTCCGTCACAATTAACGCGAGAATGCATTATATGCGTTGTATTCTTGTGAAATCGAGTTAGAAATGAGTATAATTGATATCGTGAATAGTGCTTTTATAAGTGATATTTGTTTTTAGTTACCAAGATGAATTATGAAGCCGAAAGAGCTATGAATCAGAAGCGATTGCGAATGGAGGGTGAACCCGGCCACGGTGTTGTTCAGGGGAATGGTTTACCTCTCAATTATATTGGTATGTAGCTTTAGTCACCTGATGAGTTTGAAAAGTGAATAACAAATGAGTTTTGATGTTTCTATTTATTGTTATAGATAATGGCCACCAAATACCTTATCAACCGTATGCGGGCGCATATAACACTCACTACCCACCTCCAGATGCTTTTGCCGCGTATGGGCCACCGCCTCCGGGAGGTTATGCCCCTCAGAACTTATCATATGTGCCACCAGCACATCAGAACTATCCTCATCATCAGAGTTTCCCGCCACAACAGCCGCCGCAGGCACAACTTCATATGCCACAATCCCATATGGGTAATTTCAAATGTAAAACATACAATTTTTTTATTTTATTATACATAAACAAAACATTCCTAATCTGTTAAGAGTATAGATTTTATTCAATGTGTCATAGAGGTTAGAATAGCATACATAATATTTGACAGATTAAAAAACAAAATCTTAATAAAATATTTTTATTATATTACTGCTAATATTAACCTTTCCAGTTAGACTCAATTAGTTAAAACAGAAATATGTACCTTATAGTACTGCTTACAAAAAAAAAAAAAAATTTTTAGTTCAAGGTTATGGAGATGTTGTCCATAAACCAGCCTGGCCACCACAACCGCACTTGCTTCCACCACTTGACACCCAAAAACCTCTAGACATTAATAAGTTGAAGTCTGAAATTAAACTGGAACCAACGGACGCACATAAAAGACCACATCCTGAAAATGAAATTATGGTAAGCAAGTTACATATTTTCTACACACACAAACAAATGACTAATTAATATTTACATATTATAGGTATATATTATCATAGATATTTGAGTTAAAATAGTGTATCTGAACTTTTGCTTAACACTTAGTGAATGCACTGCTACCGATAATATATAAGAAATAATTTTAGACTGCTAACTAATGTACATAGAGTGTGTTTTAAGCACTGAAGTATTGTGAATAGTTGACAGTGCATATAAAACGCAACTGTTGTGGTCCTTTACAGCAGTGTTAAAACATACACATTGTGTTCTCCACTAGAGTGCCGTAATCCACAACCCCTGTGTTCCGTACGAGAGTGCTGAAAACAAATCTGTTGAGTAGCCAACATTACTGTAAAGATAAGAAAAATTTTAACAATACAAAAATTAGCAAATGTGTGCCTAATTGCTTTTAAAATAATTTTACTAAAATTGTCACAATTGTTTTTTATATTTTAGTAAAAATATCTGGAGAGCTTATTTTAATAGCAGACTTGCCTTCTACGTTTTTTTCATAGTTGCAAATTCATTCGTAGAACACAAAACATATTTGGCAAAATGAACTAAAATAAAAAGACTGAAATGCATGTTTCCCGCATTGACGTTAGGCTACGCAACATTTGTGTTTTTAGCACTCACTTGATTAACACAGCACGCGCTTCGGGAACAGAACGTGAGATATAAGCAGTGCTGTAATGAACACAACAGTTTTGTAGCTAGCAGTTATGGATAAAAAAAATACAAGTGTGTTTTATCAGCACTCGAGAAAGTTTTTATAAACGCAAGGTGTGTAGGGTTAACATTATCTGGAAAAAACTGCCAACCAATACCTATTTATATACAATAATCATCAATCAGTCAAAAAAGAAAAACTCTTTTTATTGTCAATTATCAAGTCTTTAATAGTCCACAGCTGGACATAGGTCTCTCCTTAGAGAGAAGGTTTCGGCCTGCTATACCATGCTGGCCAGACAGTTTGATATAGGGTTTGTGTCAAGTTTTCTTCTGTTTGCAAGGCTGTTGTCCTGTGTAGTTTGCTCCCTAAGTTGGCTTTTACGACACCTAGAAGTTTGCCACTATTGTCTGTAGTTCGTGCCTTTTTATGCAAGAAGGTTTAATACAAAATATAAGAATATTTAAGATGAGTAATTGTTTGGGTGAAATATTTCAGGGTGGTGATTTAGATCAACCGAAAATAAAAATAAAGACAGACATATTCAAGCCGGATGACTTAGCTCACAGACCGGACAAGTTGAGTGGTAAGTTTTCTCTTTTTTAATCTCTCTTCAGATTACATTGACCTGTTTGCAATAGTATATGCATAAATATGTGTGAACAGATTATTCATTCATGTTCATAAATACATTTATCTACACAAGAACTTTTATTGCGAGATGCAGGATAAGTATTTCGGTTTGTCTTTGTTAGATTACATTGAAACTTGTTTTTCACTGTATTTGTAAATCAGCACACTTTCAGTTATAATAATAAAGTATTTCTTCAAAATTATAACTTCTTTAAAATATTAATATCCGTCCATTTCTCATGTGTATGTGTTTTTTTTAATTTCAGATATTTCTCAAAAGTCTCTGGATGTATCACAGAAGCCTACAGATCTTCAAAGTAAAGGTATTTTTTTTTTTAAAACAATGCTCGGCGACGCGAATTGCTTTTGGCCTTGCTTGATACGAGCGTTTTTATGTTCGCGGAATGGGGGATAAGGGGTGAAATAAAAAAACCAAATTATTTTTCCTTTTCAATATATTCACCTGCAAGACGGATACATTTTTCAGATCTTTCAATTAATTTGTTTATACCCTCATAAAAAATTGTTAAATTTGTTACCCCGCAGCTCTTTTTTCATTTTCGGAAACAGGTAATAATCGCTGGGGGCCAGGTCTGGGCTGTAGGGTGGGTGTTTAAAAATATCGAAGCCCACCTTGTGCAGGGCAGCCAACGCAACGCGGCTCTTGTGGACGGGCGCGTTGTCGTGCAAAAGCAACACACCTTTTGTCAATTTTCCCCGTCTTTTCTCTTTAATGGCTTCTTTGAGTCGCTCTAATATTGAAGCGTAGTATTCTCCGGTTATAGAAACACCTTTATCTTTATAATCGATCAATAATATTCCTTCTGAGGCCCAAAAGACCGTTGCCATGAGTTGCCCAGCTGACTGTGACACCTTAAACTTCTTGGGAGGTGCTGTGCCATTTTTATGCCACTGCATGGAGTCTTGTTTCGACTCAGGTTCATAATGATGAACCCAAGTTTCGTCTCCAGTAACAATTCTACTCAATACAGCATCCTTGTCTTCATTACAAAGGTCTAAAAATGCACGTGAACACTGCGCTGTTGTTTCTGCGTCGGCGTGAGCATTCTCGGCACCCATCTTGCACTGACCTTTGTCAAGCCAAAATGATCGTGCAGAATTCTAAAAATGGTTGTATCAGATACTCCAACCATTTCTGCGATTTGTTTCTTCTTTAGTCGAGCATCGTCGAGTACAATTTTTTCGACTTTTTGGATAAGTTCTGGCGTGATCACCTCGATGGTCCTGCCCGGCCTCGGGTCGTCTTCAAGGGATTCCCTTCCTTGTTTAAATAAACTGTGCCATTTGTACACCATGGTTTTTCCTGGACAAGAGTCGCCGTAAACCAATGACATCTCATTCATTATGGTCGCAACTGATTTTCTTTGCTTGGTAAGGAACTTTATAACGGCACGATATTCGATTTTTTCCATGTTTCACTTTTCACTCCCGATTATGTTGCTTGGTTGACGATAACTCAAAGACTAATTGTCTAATAACAATGAAACCTGGTATTTATACTAATTATGAGTCACTGAACACGTGACGATTCTAATGAGCCTAATCACCCCCCTCTAACCCTCTCATTCCGCGAACTTAAAAACGCACCCTCGTACAAGTTGTCAAAAGTGCAGTCGCATTTATTTGCGCTTGGGTCGATAAATCCCCACCTTAACAGATTGCCCTTCCAGGTTGGCCAGGGGAGTTTATCTCCTGGAGGTAGTTTTTCTGCCAAGGGAACGAAATTTTGGAGAGGGAACTTATTACGCCATATGTTTTCTCTAGCCTTGGGAGCGTAGTTATTGTCGGCAGGAATTATGTTAAGGAAACTGTTTCGACTTTTCAGGTTTTTCGTGACTTTCTTTTGAGCATTTTTTTTAATATTAAGAAACAGTTCATGCACACTCAAGATATATCTGTAATCTATTAAAACTAGCAGTTATTTATGGTCAATAAAAAAAAATCGTGTCTTTAATTGTTATTGGTTAAATCAGTCTGATTCACTCCAATAGGTAGAGACATTTCTACTTAGTCGGACACTCTTGCCTGAGTGGTCGTGGCTGTTGATGAACAGGGTGCGGTTCGCCGTCGCCGCTCACTTTCAGGGCTGCTGCTCGTTTTGCGAAGTCCCTCCATTTCTGTCGGCTTTGTGCATTGCGAGCACACTGAACTGCAATCGATTCGGTGGTAGCTTTAATTAGGTCGGTCCATCGACCTTGTGGTCTTGTGCCCTCCCCACGGCCTTGTAGCGCAAGCTACAAGAGACATTTACTGTGCTTAATTAAGGTTCCAGTGCTTGGTAGAGCCTTTACTGTGGTAATCAGAATCAGATTTATTATTATTATATATATATATTTATGAGTATGTATATGTATATATATATATATGTGTATGTGTGTGGTATTACGACGTATACACCAAATTCCAAGATAGTTGGTATTTAACAAAACCACTATCGTTTGTACCTTACCATAAATGCACCTACCTCATTCTTTCTCAGCACCGCCCAATCGGTCGACTGGCAGAGAATGCCTTAGGCATTAAGTCCGCCGATGCATGTACTTGTGCAAAAAGTTAAAAAAAAAAAAAAAAAAACTCAATACAATTTTTACAGGCGTACATTAGATATTGTGAGTTCGTTACATTACACCATACAATTATACACAATTATTTTTACAGATATCAGCCACCCAATCATTGGAGCCGAAAAAATTACAGACAAACCAACCGGTCAGTCAAATACACATTTTTTTTCATGTTACTTATTTGAAAAACTTTGTCAACTTTAAGTTTTATGAGTCTTGTTTAAAGTCTTAAATAGTTAAAAGTTACTAACAAATTCGAAACATTGCTTTGTTTTGTTACATATTTTTCTTGATATTGTTACTGTCTAAAAGTGTAGTAAGTTCTTAAAAATATTATTTTTTAAATTAGATATTTTTATTTACTTTCTAATCAGTTTAAAGTAATATTGGTTAAAAGTAAGTAAGCTATAATTTTGCAGTCAAAATAACTATTAATCAAATAGTTTAGTCGAAAGTACTGACTGAGGGTTGAAAGTACACTGCACCGCGCCTAGTGTTGTGGGTTGGATCCCCACATGCGACAACACTGTGCGATCCACAAATTGTTGTTCTGAGTCAGAGTATTCCTAGTGTCTGTATGTCTGTAAAGTCCCCCGCTACACAGGATTATATTCCTAGTGCGGGAGTGGTCTTTAAAAAAAGTACTTTTGACCAAGCTGTTATTCAAGAGTACATTTGAACTAGTCTTGTTACTGGCTGTAATATATCTATGCTTGAAAGAAAATCCTAACTATGCGATAAAAAAGCCAGGTTTGGCTGTCTTGCGGCATAGGCCTTAAGTCTGTTTTTTGTTTTTTTAGAAGCGTCTAAACCAGAGGGAGCTAGCGAAGGAGTGGTCGAAGCACATCGCAGTGCTGAACCTAGCGCCACAGTCAGCGACAAGAGGTGAAACCAAGTTTAAACATTACATTACAATTAGTGATGTGCCGGATCGTTAATAAAGTATATCCGCGGATACGGATTCGAATACGGATATTTGGTGTCAAGATCCGCGGATACGGATACGGATCTTAAGTTTCTTACTCAATCGGAGCCCGTGACCTTGATAGTTGTCGCCACTTGACGCTTTGCCGTTGATATTTAAACATTTCATTATTTTAATAAGCTAATACAAAGATGTTTGATTGATCTCATTATAAAGATAGCTCTTTCAGTACCTACGACCTGCCTAGTTGATTTAGTATAGTACGATAAATGATTGCAATACAAATTTTTTCATAGCTACCTAATAACCATTATTCAGGGTTATTTTAAATTTACTGAAAACCTCTGAAGTGCATATTGGTAACATTATAAACAACAACTTTTCTTCTGGACTAACACCGAAAACGAAAGAAAAAAAATTGTTTCTCCATTCAAACTAACAACATTTGAATGGAGGACCAATTTTTTTTCATTTTGACGTTGGCCAGAAAAAAAGTTGCTGTTTACAGTGTTACAAACACACCTATATAGAATTTCATCTATGTAATATGTATTGAAAGATCCGCCAAAAAAGTCACGGATACGAATACGGTTACGGATCTCTCTTCTCCCTTGGATATCCGCGGATACGGATACGGATATCCGGCACATCACTAATTACAATCAATCATATTAATTCATCGTTTTGTTCGTTTTGGAATGCTTGGATGTTACTATTGATTGGACTTTGTATGCCTATCCCCGTTGGAAGTTCTCTCATAAGATGCGTAGCCCTCTACGGAGCGCCGATATGGTCCAAGAGCCTTCGGTCCATAAGCCGAGCTAAGCTCAATCGAGCCTTTTGCCTGACCTCGAAGCGTCGGTAGGCAGGGAGGGAAGTCGTGTCACCTACCGTCTGACACAGGTTCTGAGCATGGTTGCTCCACGTGGAACGGACGCGATAAGATGCACACAATGTCAGCTCTGCACAACCGACTGGTGTTTCGCCCAGATTTAACAATTAATAGGTTTTAGGTCAACCAGTTGGATTGTGTTTGGTGTACCATTCTTTTAGCTAAAGTCCTTTTTGTTTCAGTGAAGAGGACAGGAAACCGTTTAGCAGTCCAGAGCTTCCAAAGTCTGGCTCGATGCCAGGCAAAGTGCCTACTCCCGGTAGTGAGGTGAGACAGATTAAATGATTCATACATTTTTAGTTTTCGCCTTATGTTAGTCACGGATTCGGTTCCCATTTGTAAGTTTGTCTATGTATCTTACAATGGAGTATATACGAGTTAGTAGCAGGAAACGGGAGGCTGGACTTGGCCGTTAAAGATGTCAGATGTTAACCATCACGTGTGAGGCTCGCTAGTTCGTAATTTAGTAATAATTTGATGTAATTTGAAACTGAGCATAGTAATGAATGAAAATAAATTGTTATTGACTTTGACTTGAACAATCGTAATAAAACAATTTTGCTAAGTAAAATTACTTTTAAGCTCAAACATTTGAAATTTAGACATTGTATGTATAAAAAAGATGATTAAAAAGCAAAATCTTTGTTTAAAAATACTATCGTTGAAAAGGTTTTAATTTAAGAGTGAATAATTATTATTTAACTCATTTATAAATTCCAATAATTCTAATGTTTTACTGTGATTAATTACGTTTAAAAATATTGTTAATATTAATGAATAGTTACTCATCATCATGGAGTACTTCATGCAGATGTATCACTTTTCAATATATTTCTTTTGTGCTGGGGTTTTGGCAATATTTTAATTTAAATTGTCTGCTCAAATCCATCACAGTTACTTCACTTTATAGTTTCTTTTTTCTGGCAACACATTTGAATTACCGCCAAAATCATTTTTTTTTAACGTACACGTCCGAATTAATTTGAATTCGTTTAGTTTCAATACCCAAATTACTACAGCCCTTAACGTCCACTATTGGATATAGGCCTCTCCTTAAAATGGAGGTTTTGGCCTGGTGTACCACGCTGACCAGACGGGTTGGTATAGGGTTTGTTTCAAGCTTTTCTTCTTTTTGCAGTGCTGTTGTTTTGCACAATTTGCTCCCTTAGTTGGCTGGCTCTTAAGATATCCACGGGATGAATAGGGGTGGTGACACTCTGTATTCTTAATCCGTCACCACACAGATAGTGACCCAAATAGTGACCATAATTCCTAAACCCTAATCAAAGAACGGTAGAGTACTTCGGTCGCAATGATACCGCGGCGTGTTCATGCATATGTGATTGACTACATTGCGTCAGGCGAAGAAGCGCGGGCGGCCCAAGGGCTCCACCAACAAGCCCAAGGCGCCGGGCGCGTCCCCGGTGCGAGGCGCGGCCCTGCCCCCCGCGCCGCGCGCCCCTCCCCCGCGGCCCGCTCCGCCGCCCGCGCGGCCCCGCGCCGCCGGCTACCAGTACGCCATCAGACCCTTCCGGAAGGACTTCTCTGGCATTCAGTTTAGAAGGTAAGTCTCTGTTCACGCCCATAATTCCTTACGAGAGATGGATTTTTATTCGTGTCCTTGTAAAAAGCTCTTAGCGTAGCACATTACATTGTGGGAATAATCACGTAACCACGTACAGTCAGCTCCAAAAATAAATGACCACATTCATATTCTATTTTTTTTTAACATTTCAATGTCTTTAAAATACACATAAATAAAACGAAATGAAATAGATTCAGTGACGAGTATAACGCATCATGTTAAGATATTTTGAATTCAATGTTCTTCAATTATTTCTAACAAACCGGTGTTCAGTTAATTTGTAAAATGTAGTGTTTACGTAGTTTTGAACTTTAAAGATGATTATTCAATTAAAGCATCTTGTTTTGTTCGAACTATAAATGATCTATAAATCCAATATGTTATAATATAAACTACCATTAAAATGTGAAAAATTATTTAAACAACATTGCGACTTGTGCTGGTGGCTAATCCACAAGACCTCGCATACAAAGTATTTTCCATTCTTACTTTAAAAAAAGACAACTTCCGCATTAAGAATTTATCCTCTATTAGACTCTATCCTATCGACTCGAGGAATTAACATATTTATGAACTTGAATAATAAGTAAGAGCGTTTCGTACAGGCGATGGAGCGACGACTGCCTGGACTCGTCGCACATCCCCAACGAGGTGTACTTCGGCGACGTGCCGGTGTCGCTGGAGGTGCTGTACAACTACTACGACGCCAACGCGGAGCGCGAGCGGCTCGCGTCGCAGGCCGCGCACATCGCCGCGCAGAAGGCGGCCGCCGCCAAACTCGCGCAGGCCAAGCTCCAGGCGCGCGGCCTCGTCTCGCAGGAGGTGCGTCACGCTAACTTCAAATCTCACCCCGGACTATGATCTGAATATAGTAGTCGCGAGTCTGCAAGTTCTTTGTGCCCATCGTTTCATTGTTGGTACAGTCTATCGAGATCCAGGGATTACATCTAGTCCGTTGTTTTAAAAAGAAAAGAGAAGTACTGCTGCTAAGCTTGTTGATTTCGAGTTCTTTGGCGGCCCAGAACACTGGTGGATATAGATTTTCCAGGTGGTGCTTTATAATGAAAACACTAATAAACGGTCGAAACCAAACTGCAGAAGCGGTGACTACTTGTTACCACTTCTACAGATTGATGACGCCCCGATTTACATTCTAACATTTTTTTTACCCGAGAAAGCTACTTCTTTTTAACACACACATAAATACACACTTACAAGTAGATCATGTCTCCAGCATAAAGCTCTGCGTTTTTAATGTTATTCAATAAATAATGTCCCCTGACCATTAATAATTATAGGTATAATTTTTAATAGGTCACAACGGTGGACTCATCATCATCAGACGACTCTTCGGGAGAATCCGGCAGTGATTCAGAAGAAAGCGATGACGTAAGTTGTGTTTTTTATTTCATTGATCTAACGATCATTGTACGTGTGGTGACAGATTAAGAATACCGAGTGTCACCAACCCTATTTATCCCGCGGGTGTCGTAAGCGCCGACTAAGGGAGAAAACTACGCAGAACAAGAGCACTGCAGAGAGAAAAAAAACTTGAAACAAACTCTATAGCAACCCCTCTGGCCAGCGTGGTATAGCAGGCCAGAACTTCCTTTCTAAGAAGATGCCTACGTCCAGCACTGGGCTATTAAAGGCTTTGATGATAATCGAAATAATATTATAAATATTAGAATCAGAACTCGAATTTCGATGATGAACATCAAAATGAGTGATTAAGTTTTTACCACAAATATTTATACTATTTATTAATTAAAAGAATTGTTACATAGAGGTATCACCTGAGGATGCCACTTCACGAACAGGCTTCCACCGTTCTCACTTCCTCCTATTTATGGCTGCATTCTGTTATACCATATGATTTTAGTCGATTTAATCGTTTTATCGAAAACGTATCGTTTGATTCTACATTAGAATCAGGTTTAGAATTGCATGGAGAGCTTAAAGGCTATAATCGCGTATGTACTTGAATCCAATTTAATAAAAAATATACTAAATGGCGTTAGTAGTTTTTCTTACGTTTACACCAGGCTCTTTCGCAAAAAAATTCTCGGCTCTTACGATACCCACGGGATGAATAGGGGTGGTTCCCACTATTTTAGTTTCGTAATCGTCATGCATTTCTGCAGCCTACTGTACATAGTATCGGCTTGAGAAAAAAATGATATTTTTAGGAATAATTGTTAGTTTAATATTTCAGTTTAGAATATTTATGGGTTATAATGTCTTTTTTTTTGAATTAAATGAACGATTTCAACGAAGCTAAATTTACTAAATTAATTTTTGTTTATTCTTATAGCGCACCGAAGGCGTGGTGATATCTTTTCTTTATACTAATTAATTATAATTTTTAGTTGCTGCTTATGATTTTAGTTAATATTGCTATTATTTATTATTGCGAAGCACGTTTCATATACAATCGCTGCACTTTTCGTGTTTGGTAATTTTATGTGGTTTATACTCAAACTTTCGGCGCAAATTGTGCTCGAAGGACCAATTATTTTGTTCTAATTTTACGCAATGGCTTTATTTATTGGTCATTTTTTTATGAATAATTAGAATTAGAAATTAGAATCATTAGAAACCCTGTTACAATTTTTATACATCGTCAACAGGACGTACCTCTAAAGCGTGGTCCGGGGCGGCCGAAGGGTTCCAAGAACAGTCCGAAGGGCGCGGGTGCGGGCGGGCCGGGCACGCCGGGCGGCGGCGCCACGCCGGGCCGGCGCGGCCGCCCGCCCGTGCCGCCGGAGATGAGGCAGCCGGGCATCACGGACATGAAGAAGTTCTGTAAAGCTGCCGGCATCCGGTTCGATTATAAGAAACTTGTTGAAGGTGCGGTTTTGTCTTACTATTATGATAATAAAGCTATAATTTAAATGACTGCCCGGATGGCGTAGTAGGAAGCGGCGAGGTGAGTGTTGTGGGTCCGATCCCCACAGGGGACAACACTTTGTGTGATGAATTGTTGTTCTGAGTCTGGGTGTTGTTTGTGTCCGTTTAATGTGTGTTTGTAAAGTCGCCTTAAAAGTAAAGTTAAGTAAAGTTGCCTTAAAAATGTCTAACTTTTATATTTATGTAGCAGCCATGCTCGACTCCACTTAAGTTGCCAGTATGTACGTGCGAGTGAAGTGCGTTAAGGGTCAAAGCGTGATACCTGGTGCGAGAGAGAAAGCTGCCGAGAGGCCCCCTCTTGCTGGTTCTCTCCAATCCATAAAGAGCACTGCATTGCGCATGCTCGCCTGATTAAAAAAAGACAACAAGAAGGGGCTCTCTCTCTCTCGCACCTGGCATCACAAAGGACTATGTGGAGATAGTTTGCTCTATTTACTATATCTCAATTGTGTGACCTGAAATGTCTGACCGTGAAATTTTTCTCGTACAAAAAAAATCTCGTACATAAAAATATTGTACAGAGTTGATTTAATGCCACATGGCCTTATTGCAATGTTTGCCTTTAGGTGAAGTAGTGAGTGAACAGTTTTGTCCTCCTGCACCAGACTTTGTCAATGTTTTTATATGTTTCGACTGCCTTGGTAGTGCAGTGGTAGCGGATGCGACTGCTGTGATGAGGTCTCGGGTTTAACTCCCGGGTGGATGATCACATGTTTGCATAATCTGCAAATATTTGTTTCGGAGTTTGGGTGTTTTCTATGTATAAATTGTAGGGATGTATTTACGAAAAAAAAGCACATAATTATTCTATCATTCAATCTAACTTTCATAGTACAAGCTCTGCTTAGTTTGAAACTAGATGGCGTTGTGTGTCAGATGTCCGAAAATATTATTATTTTATTGTTTATCTCTTTCTATAATCTTTCCACAGGTTGTACGAAAAACAAAGAACGTGTACAGAAGATGTTAGACTTACTCATAGCGGCAGGCTTAGAAGGCAAGCCGACAATAGAGAAGTGCCAAGCGTTAAAGAAGGCCAAGCAAGACAAGAAGGAACAAGAGAAACAGGCGAAGAAAGACGCGAAAGTAAAAAGTAAAACAACGACGCAAGAGGATGGTGAGTTTATTAAAACTTTTCCCTCAACTACCCTCCAGCATTGATATACAAAAACCCAAGATACACAGTCTCGAACTAAAGTTACACTTGAATCTGTCTCCAATCACACATGAGTAGTTATATTTATGTTATAAACATATTTTTTTTGCAAATTCAACCTTACGCACATGATATAAAGCTCTTTTTACAAAGCAGTGTAAAAAAAGCAATAAAATTTTACGACCGAAGTCTGCTGGTAGGACAAGGCATGGAATGGAGACTTCATTATGTTTATACTTTTCATTTTTATACTACATTCACTTAATATTTTTATAATTTATAAAAATATGTTCTCAACTTATAATTATACTTTTATTTCAGTGTATATATATTTTTGAGTGGAACATGTATTTATCAATAAAACAAATGTTAACCATTAAAAATATTTATTTGTATATTTAGTTGAAAAGGTAATATTGTAGAAACTAAGTACCTAGATATTTAGTTTATGATGATTGCGTGTTGGTGGTGAAAGCTTTTTGAATTTTGGTATCATGCATCAAATTTAAGTTGGTGGTGATGAGTGATGCTTCTTATATTTAAAATGACATAAATACATATTTTTATAAGAAATAAAATTAAAGTGTCTGTTCTTAAAGTCAGAATTACAGTTTTTATGATTACATATATGAATATTTTTACAATATTTATTTAACGATACATTACCAAAATTACAATTTTCGAGGTGTATCCAAAATTGAGCCTATACTTAGAGAAGTAGTAGGAGATTTGAATTCCTTTTTGTTATCTAAAACGAACATAGTAGGACCAACTTCAGTATCATCGCCATTGTCCGGTTCAATCTGTAAGCAACATTAAAGTGATAAGTAACTATAAGAATACCAAGTAACATTTTATTGTAAAACGGAAATAAAGTTCCGTTCGTTCTTCACTGTAGTTACTTACAATCTTAAGGACTTGAAAAGATATGATTATTAAAAATAATTATTCGAATCAAGAGGTACCTAATAACGATACTAATTCGACAAACTATTTTCTGGGTAACCATAGTTACTTACCGCTACACGAGGAACAGCCGTTTTAAGAACACGTTTTATGCCTTTTGCAGTGACATACATATCTTCGTCCAAAAAAAGTTCTGAACAAACTACACTTGATCTATTTGGCTTAAAAAAATCTTCACGCCTTTGCTGACTGACGATTGATTTCCACCCTTCACATCGTGGGTCACGAGGAAAACTAAAATATTAAAATTAGAAATCATATAGGAGGTATAAGTTGGTACATACCTACAAAAATCAGAAGTCCTAAGTAATCGAAATATACAGAAAATTTAAAAAAAAAATAGTCAACATGACTGCCTCTTCAACTTTTGAAAGTCGATTCGAAACTATGTTATATTGTATGATATATAAACATTAGTTACAAACAACAACAAGTGAACAAACTTATTATTCTTATTAATAAAAAAAAATAGTTCAATATTAAAAAATCGACTCCATTGGAAACGAACAGGGTCATTTGTATTAAGCGACTAATTTAAAGGACGTTGTAATGCGTTGTTCTTACACTGATACGAACCTATTGAAATGTGCTGTACTATATTGGACCGTTAAGTGAAGATTTTAGATAAAATAAATCAAAATCACATAATACTTCCTCTATTTAGTCATGAAAATCAGAAAAGCAAATCAATAAACTATTTTACTTACCGAAAATAAGATATTCCATCCTTTTTTAAAGTTCTTGACGTATTATTTTTGCAATTTTTCATAGAACATTTTGGCATTATTGTCGTGCGTGCATAAACACGGGCGATGCGAGACTATTTGAAATGAGCGCTCAATTTGGAGTTTAGCGCTCATTTTATGCGGACGGTTTTGATATTCTGACTGTGTATCTTTGGTTTTTTTGTATATCAATGCCCTCCAGGAACTTTCATCATTATCAGAGCAAAAACTGTACAGTTAAGTGGTCACTAGTTAACTTACAGACAGCAGCATCAAGGTCGTTCTCGACACTGAATGTGTAGCGACTTTCACATACAATGAAATAAAAACATAATTCAGCGCCATCTATTGCAGACACACCAAATTATGGAGTAAATGTTAATCCTGTATCACGATTTGAAAAGTTCTTACATAGCAGATATACAACTAATATCCGCCTATAACCCGGCAATCTCGTGCGCAACCGTCCCGTGGGGTGACAGACAGTGGCGGGGGCGAGGTAGCGCGTCATTCTAGCACACGGCTACACGAAGAGAAGTGTTTCCCTTCCCCGCTACACCACCCGCTACCCGCTGACATCTTGAGTACCTCGTCCCCGCCACCGTCTGTCACCCCGCAGGACGGTCGCGCACGACGTTGATGGACTATAGTTGGAAGATTCTCCCTTTGTGTTGGAGGGACATGACATCGGTTCTTCCACAAATTTTCCGAATAGAAGTCTGTCAACGCTGGTGGCACACAGCCTTGTGGGACAGCCTTCTGCATTTCAATAACAAGTTGTCAAATAGTAGCATTTAGTCATAGAGATATAACCTAGACCTAGTGAACAAAAGCCCCAATCTTGCAATATAGTCAACGAAAGAGATGGGTAATAGATAGTCCCCTCTATCTCTTTCTAGCCGAGCTCTGTGGTTGGCAGGGGTATATGAGGGGTTAATAAGTAGCCAGTCGCAGCTTAGCTAAACAGAGACAGAGGGAAATATCGGGCATCCATCTCAGGGCAGTCATCATCTTGCAGGCGGCTGTACCCCGTGTTCTCTCTAGGCTTATATATCTATGCATTTAGTACTATGCCGATGTTAGGATAGACGATGTTTTTATACCCGGGAAACGTCACTCAAACGTGTGTCTACAATCATAGCTTGCGTTGCGATGGTTTTGGAATGGGTTCGATTTACTCGAAATTAACCCCAGGAAGACGCGGTTCGCGGAATATATAGTTTGCCGTATCACTTCTCTTTGAGAGTGATTCCCTATCTACCACAGCAGCATCCAAATGCTTGGCGTACATGCATATATAGATAAATAGAGCGAAGTCCAGTTTCATAGTCACCTATAGATTAAGGAAAAATTATCCTTGAAGAAGCTTGGTGTACTAATTAAATTGAGACGGTATTTTACACCTAGCAATGTGCCGAGTAGGGCTTGACTCGAGTCAGACTCGATTCCTGCTTTAGACACGCTTATTCGAATACCAATTTATTTTGATTCGAGTACGCCAAACTCGATTCCGGCACTCAAGTCAGGAAGAATCGAATTTGTACTCGCTGACTCGATTCTGTTTAGCAATTCCATGTGAGTCGAATCTAGCATACGAGTTAGGTTGAATCGCTCGTACTCGATATCTGTTTACATAAGCCCTGATGTGACGCCTTTTTTTTTGTTGTTGGGGTGGAAAATCCCTTCGGATCTCCTGCTCCTCGGAGACTATGAGCCAGGAGTATGTGGTGATTTCACTAAAAACCACCCCGACGGCCAGCCTCAGGTGTCCTACTCTGGGGAGGACCCGGACCATGTTATTTCAGGTCCTCCCCGAGTTGACACCATGCCTAATCAGGCCCTATCCCAGGGGAGAAGATTTCTGGACCCAAATTTCTAGACTCAAGTTTTAGATCGAATTTCCAGACTAGAGTTCTGGACTCGAATTTCTAGACTCGAGTCTTAAACTCGAGTCCTGGACTAGAGTTAACATTCGAACACGGAACATAGAACTAGAGGCTCGAATAGCAAAATCGAGTCATGATTCGAATACCGTATAAACCGGCTCGAGTCGATTCGATCCACCAAAACAGCGACTCGGTACATCACTATTTACACCGTCCCATCGCCTACAACTTTATAAGGTCGGCAGTTGCTTAAAGCAGTACCAGCTTTCTCTGACTACCTGCTTCCACCGCCTCTGAATTAAATTCAACAAGGAGCGGCTTGCATTGTCCGCTTTCGGCCGAAGATTTTTTTAGTCTTTCATAGCAACCAGTTGTATACGAGGATTTTTTAGTCTTTTATTGGAACCAGTTGTGATAGAAGAACATTTATTCTCGGTATACAAATAGTTGTCAATAAAGAAAAAATCGCCGTCATCGCAACTATGTTACGCAACCAGTTGTCAAAAAATTTTTTTTATTATTTCATGGCTACCAGTTGTGATAGAAAAATATTGTATTATGGGGTGCTTCGAGGCTGGCATAAGACCGAACGATTTTGCAATTCGGCCGCGAGTTTCCGCAAACATTCAACGCGCTAAAATTTTTTTTCCCGAGTACTTGGACGATTAGCATTCTATCACTGCGCTTTTTTGCCTCACACATTTATTCTGTAGATAAATTATCGCCTGCGGTATTTCTGGACTCGAGGACGACCTTCAAACTTCCAGAAAGAGTGCAATCGCACCTGAAGGGCTGGTAACCGCCTTCTCATTCTTGAGTTGAGTTGTTGGACACTAGGGTAGGGTCCAGTGCCTATTTTTAAATAAGACTAAGAAATTTTTGTACAATATTTTGAAATAAAATATTGCGTATGTCGTGTCAGGTACGGAGACGTCGGTCCCGCGGCGCATGACGCGCGGCGCGACGGGCGTGAAGCCGCGGCAGCGCATCGTGATCTCGTCGGACGAGGAGGACGACACGCCCGCCGCGCGACGCACGCTCTCCAAGCTGCGCTCCTCCGTCAACGACGACACTGACTCCGACTAGGTACGTATGTCACGTCCCACCTCGCCCCTGAGTGATCTCGTCGGACGAGGAGGACGACACGCCCGCCGCGCGACGCACGCTCTCCAAGCTGCGCTCCTCCGTCAACGACGACACTGACTCCGACTAGGTACGTATGTCACGTCCCACCTCGCCCCTGAGTGATCTCGTCGGACGAGGAGGACGACACGCCCGCCGCGCGACGCACGCTCTCCAAGCTGCGCTCCTCCGTCAACGACGACACTGACTCCGACTAGGTACGTATGTCACGTCCCACCTCGCCCCTGAGTGATCTCGTCGGACGAGGAGGACGACACGCCCGCCGCGCGACGCACGCTCTCCAAGCTGCGCTCCTCCGTCAACGACGACACTGACTCCGACTAGGTACGTATGTCACGTCCCACCTCGCCCCTGAGTGATCTCGTCGGACGAGGAGGACGACACGCCCGCCGCGCGACGCACGCTCTCCAAGCTGCGCTCCTCCGTCAACGACGACACTGACTCCGACTAGGTACGTATGTCACGTCCCACCTCGCCCCTGAGTGATCTCGTCGGACGAGGAGGACGACACGCCCGCCGCGCGACGCACGCTCTCCAAGCTGCGCTCCTCCGTCAACGACGACACTGACTCCGACTAGGTACGTATGTCACGTCCCACCTCGCCCCTGAGTGATCTCGTCGGACGAGGAGGACGACACGCCCGCCGCGCGACGCACGCTCTCCAAGCTGCGCTCCTCCGTCAACGACGACACTGACTCCGACTAGGTACGTATGTCACGTCCCACCTCGCCCCTGAGTGATCTCGTCGGACGAGGAGGACGACACGCCCGCCGCGCGACGCACGCTCTCCAAGCTGCGCTCCTCCGTCAACGACGACACTGACTCCGACTAGGAACGTATGTCACGTCCCACCTCGCCCCTGAGTGATCTCGTCGGACGAGGAGGACGACACGCCCGCCGCGCGACGCACGCTCTCCAAGCTGCGCTCCTCCGTCAACGACGACACTGACTCCGACTAGGTACGTATGTCACGTCCCACCTCGCCCCTGAGTGATCTCGTCGGACGAGGAGGACGACACGCCCGCCGCCCAAAACCTAGAATTTTGTCTTAGCAGTCGAAATCGTTAACGTTAGATCAACAGGCCATACATAACAGTACAATTTTCAAAATCTTTATTCTATGGTGTTTATTCCTATTACCGTCCCCTGACCGATCAGGTTGCAAGCTTTCATAAGAAACGATAATTTCTTCGAACCTGATTGGTCAGGGGGCGGGGCCTGATCGATGCACCAATATTTATTAATACGAATGGACTATAGTATATTAATCAAGGTTTCCTCGATACAAGCTTGCCTAGTGAGAAAACCAATGGATAACTTATTTTTAATTATTACATTCTCTTTAAACAAATTCACTGTCACAAGTCATCTGTTTGTTATTACCTTATCATGTAAAATTTTGCCGTTATAAACGATTTATTATTTTTATTATAACTAATTTGATATTCTTTTTTCAGGGAATCCTTGACTTCTCTGCCTGGTGAGCTTCACGCAATGAATATTAAACATTGGACACCAGCTTCCTTGGCAGGGAACGTGTTACACTGTGGCCTCTAGAAAGTGCTTCGACGGAGGTAGAGACTTATAGTACCGTAGTGTCGGTGAACGTATTATTTCCTATTAACATTAGTGTTAACGTCGAAATTTTGTAGCGGTTGTTCGCAATTTAGAGCCTAAAACTACTGACTATTACATAATATGAGTTTCATCGAAGAGAGGAATGGAATGAATGAGAATTATATGATAAGAGAAATGGGAGTTGATTTATTGAAGTTTTAGGGGCGTTGTTGTACCATAACATGGAACATGTTGGCGGATGTTATCAAGTAAACAAAGTAGATGCAATAAAGTCTAGGATACACAGTTTTTCATTACCTTATGAACAATTTCCAATGTTAATATGAAGATCATAATTTAATTTGATGCTACGTTTTATTCTGACGCCCGTATTCATTAATTAAATAAATACTGTGCTATATACAACAATTTTATAAAGGTTTTACTACATATCACAGAAAAACATTGACGGCAAACGTATAGCCTTGTTGGTTCTATTTATAACGAATAGGATTTGCTTGTGTTTGTCGTCACTTTGAGACCTTATAGTAATGTTTATGAATATGGGCTTTATGTTTTTTATTTTATTTACAAAGCTTAATTTTAAGTTTTCATTCAATAATACTTTCATTCCTTGTTGATGCATATATTTTCCTAGTTACTAACCCTTTATGCTGTAGTTATAATCAAAGCACATATAGACATTTCTTGAGATAGTACAACAATTGGCAGTTTTTGTTAAAATATCGTAAGGATTTTTTTATTTTAACTAAAGGGCAGTTTGTTTTCTAATTCTCAGAATCTATAGACCATAGCGCGATGCTGTATTGTTTTTAAATTTTATCAGTAATTTAAAAAAACAGAGTAATAAAAAAGTATCTATATTTGCGGAACGCTGCTCTGGTAACACTGCGTGGTAGTAGAAAAATGTTTTTTTTTTGACACTTCTGACTTGAGCCATATCCAGAATATTCTTCGCATTTATGACCTTGCATTTCAAAGGATGATTGCCTTAAAAAATGTTTCCTATTTATCATTTATAGAAAATTTTGTAGAAATCGAGGATATATCACAAAATTTATCGATCTCTTTAAAAGCTGCGATTGGAGAACACTAGTCATGGTAGTATCGAAAAAAGACAAATTCAACCTTTTTTTTTTAAATTCGGCAGTTTCTATTCGTTACTTATGGCACAATAGTAGAATTTTTTTTACGGGATTGGTCTTTTCGACATTGCGTTGTGTGTATTTTAGCGGGAAACTTTTGCTGAAAATATGAGTAAATTTGTAGGACTAAAATCCCTCGCCTACTATAAGTAGTGGTAGTGAAGCTTAGAGGCACTCGATACTGTTCATTTGTGCCTATAATAATATTAAAAAAATACTATAAACTAACGTGTGTGAATCTTAAAGTAATAATTTTCATTTGGATAGCAGAATGCGGTTGTATTTTGATTGAAGTCAAATTTTATACTCTAGAATTATAAAATTAATATTAATTATCAATAAATTGGTAACACCAAGACGTTAATTAAATTTAAATGTTGTATATATGAAAGAAACAAAAATACATATTATTGTGTGTCCTGCGTTATTTTTGTACAGATTTGGACAATGTTTGCATGGCATCTGCTTTGTACATATGCGTGAGAGTGAATGAGAAAACCATAGGTGAAAGAGAGACGCAGTAACCAAGCCAAGGGTGGCTCTAGATGTGTTATTCTTTTATAATGTCTATTTACTCTTTATTTTTAAGTAGATCAGTTTGTAAACTGAACTTCAATTAAGTACATCATTTGTAAGATAAAAGAAAAACGCCATATAGCAGTCTTATATAACTGTTATATGTTTAGTAGTGATCGACAAGTTTTAAAAATGGCGTCAGTGAAGTTCTAAGTGAGTTTACAGCTCTACGGAAAAACTAGGTGCTGTCAAATCCGTTGTTTCGTTTATGTCACTAACAATTAAATGTGTCGCCAACCACGTGTTTTCTAACCCCAACTAAATAAAGTTAGTTAAAGAAATATCGACGATCTCTTCGTAACAATCACCATTCACTCTTACAGCAACCATAGGAGCTGTAAATATATAGGGTCCAATTATTTCTCGCGGCTAGTTCCCCCTCCTTCTCCACAACTACCCTTAATTGCCCTATATTGAAAATTGGTTGCAATTTTTTAGCGTTTTCGAAATAAAAGACTGATTTGTGTAGAAGTTTTGATAATTAAACTTGAATAGCTGTAGCCAAATTAAATTATTTTTGAAACTGTCTAATTGCCGCCGATTTTAAATGCCAGTGAATAAGTATACCTTTATAGCCCATTTGCGTTAAGAAAATAGTGACGTAACTATTTTCTTAATACAAATGGACTAGCTTACCTATGGCCTCATTCGTTGTTTTATATATTGTAGCTACACACTGCGTTTTGAACACTTAGAACTTCACCTGCGCTACATCTTTTTGACAGCTAGGAGCTATAACTTAGCCGAAAAACGAATTTATATTATTTATTTACCAGGTGTAAGAATCTCAGTAATTGCATTCTTTTGCAAGCATAAATTCATTTTAATGTTCGTTCATTTTTAATACCGAAAATATACCTAGGGCTTAAACATGAAATAATTATGTAACTTTCAAATCAAGTGTTAACTAATAGAATGCTTGAACACACTCACAGTTGACACTTATTGTTATTATTCCTTTTAGTTTTTTAGTGTTTGCGTCACTTAAACGTGCGTACGTACAAATAGTACGTTTAAGTTGCGTATACAACTGCGTGCACGAAGACACATGCGTACGTAACGGAAAAATAAACTGTCGGGGAGATGACTGTCTAGTCAAATTAGTATCATTTTACTAAACGTCGAATTCTTAGGGTTTGGTAGAAATTTGTATAAAACACCAAGGTATGACGTGAAGTCTTAGTTTCAAAATCATGACGTCACGATGTAGTACTCTCAAGTCAGTTACATTTCATGTTTAATTAATTTAAAATTATAAAATAAAAGATTATAGAATACTGCCCACTCAAAGTAACTCATAAATGACGAGTGTGTTCAAGAATGGCCTTCTTATTTTAAAAGATTACATACCAGTTACACTTGATGCCTTATTGATTCAATACTAGCGATAAATACTTTATTTGTATAGGAACCTTTGATTAAACATATTTGACACGTTCAACGCCGCAAAAACAAAAACGTTTGTCGTATATTTTGGTACATTTTTAGCGGTTTTTTGCTGTTTTATGTACGACACGCGATTGGGAAAGGTCTCGGCTCTGATGTGTGACGCTGGCGTTCAAAAGAGTGTACGGTTATAAAGAAAACAAAACTGTTTTTATCTCGGAAAGTGACTTTTGTGAATTATAAAGGACGAGAAAGTAT